AACCCTGTTCTCTTAAATTTTTAGAAATGTTTTTAAATTATATTGGTACGACTCTATACCTAAAACGTCTTTTATTATTGGAAAAAATTTTAAAAAATAGTTTTTATCTCAACCAATGAAATGAAATTATTCACAATATAGAAATTTTTGTGACGTTTGATAATGGTGGAAATCCGAAAATGAATCCACTTCAGCTACAGTCTATTGTAAGCTTTATATCGAAAATCAGAACGAACTTTCCGGACAACCTATAATGTTAATACAAAGTGTCAAATGAATGTAACAGAAGTAGTTTATTCCAAATTGTATCACAAGTATATAGAGATAGAGTTCAATTTTGTCAAATGTACCGATATTTTTGCGCACCTTGACTGCTTCGTTACTTATGACGCTGTGGCTGCTACGATATTTATGAGCATCTTGCATGTACTCATATATTTGACGCTGTGTATGTACCGATGTATTTGAGCAGGGTGAATGTATCTATTATTTTGAGGACTTTTGTTGTACCGATATAATTGATTACTTTTGATGTACCTATATATTTGCATATCTTGTCTGTGACGATCTATATGACGCTGACTGTAGAACGGCTAAACGGATTTCGATTAAATTTGTCATAGATATAGAACATAGTCTGGACGAACACATAGGCTACTTTTTTATGCCGCGTGGACGAATTCGCGGTTCATAGCTGTAATATAAAAACTGTAAAAAAACGAACTAACAACTCCGTCCGCGTAGCCTTTGTGTTCTTCTAGACTATGTTCTACATCTATGTCAAATTTTAGTGACAACCATATAGCTGTTTTGCTGATATCTTCAAACAAACATCCATCCAAACATTGGCATTACGAAAAAACGAGATTATTTACAAACTGGTAATTCCCCATTTTAGTTCTGTTTATCCCCATATTCAGAGTTTTAAACCAAATTTAATTGTTTATGGTATTAAAGAATAAAAAAGTATTGTCTATTAATGTAATATAACCTAAAAATCTGAAAAAAATCGTCAGTGTATTTACGTACCGAGTAATAAAAAGCATATTAGAAATCTCATAATGTAGCAAACACAAGAGAACTATAAAATAAACCCATAATTTTATTCAACAATAAATGAAAAACAATTATTCATCGTCACGCTAAGATGAAATTTAAATTACTTTTATTTGATTGGAAGAAAAATAAAACAAAATTAGTTTTTTTATTTGTCACTCCATACATTATGTATCAAAACGTATTTACTTAGTAATTGTATCACTTCAAAAACAATATTCAATATAAACATATTTCTTTTTAGTTCACAGTTCACTGTCAGTTCCATATACGCAATAAAACTCAATTAAAATTTAGTATTTTTTATGTTAAGGTTCTGTACCTCATAGGAGAAAAACTAAACCCTTATAGAGTCACTTTTCTGTCCGTCTGTCTGTCGAGACACTTTTTTACTACATTGATGTTTATTTATGAAATTGTTTTTACATTATGTAAAGTGAATTCTATTCATGTATAATATATTTCATAATATAAGTGTTGAAAAGAAACACTGGCCCATAACTATTTTAAGCATTTTCTCATAAGGTAAACTCAACAATTAACGACCAGTGTCATAAACACATAGCATTGAAAGCTCATTGGTTAAGTTCCTGATATTTAATCTACAGGTTTGATCACCAACAAATATGTTTCACTTCAAAATCTCATAATGTAGATTTAACAGTGGTAGAGCCCGCTTTAACATCTTCGCACGAATCAGCCCGGCTCGCCCGGTGTAATACCACGACCACACAGAAGACAGGCGTGAAGTGGAAGCAATTCCAACTACAGTCTGATGAGTGTGCGTCCCGGAGGCCTAATTTAGTCCTCTTTCCCTTCCCACCCTTCTTATAAGGAAAGGATGGAAGTGGAAGCGGACTTTCCGGATGAGATGTTGCATGGAAGGGGAAAATATTTTCTTTCTGTGCATCCTCTCCTCCGTCGATTAAAGGTAGGCAACGCATATGCAATTGCGTATGTCTATGGGCAACGGTCACTTCGCTATTTCAGCGATGAGGTGACCGCTTGCTCGTTTGCCACCTTATGATATAAAAAAAAAAGATTATTTGCCTTAATTCGTACAGTGATAGAAAATATCATAATTGATGGATAATCTGTACGTATTTGAGCGAACTTAGGACAGTAGGGCGCACTTCGTTCAATGGTTCTAATAAGGACAGATATATGAGTTAATAACTTCAAACATACTAAAACTGTCTTATAAAAATACACTGGCCCATAACTATTCTTAGATTTTTCTTATAAAATTAAGGTAAACACCACAATAATCGGCCAGTATAAAATATCAATTTTCACTAATAAATTCATCCAATGATATTTCTTGTCTAGACAATTCTAGTGCTTTAAACCTTCTGTCAGGGTCAGCAAGCCAGTCGTAGTTTCCAGTTCTTGCAGTCACCAGCTTTGATATCATCCAACGCATTAGTTCCATTTTTTCGATTAACATACGAAGTTTCCTGTAAAAAAAATGAGTCTTTATAAATTGCTTATATGTTTGACTAGCTGCCGTATGCAACTCCGTCAGCATGAAACTAATAAACTAATAAGTGGGCTATGTGTTCTTCCAGACCATGATCTACATCTATGCCAAACTTCAGCAAGATCCATGCTTTCCGGAGATACCTTCTAACAAACATCCATAAAATATAAAATAACTTACTGATATGCAGGTCCATCCATTGTTATATCTCTATCACCTCTTCCATCTATGGTTCTCTTCATTTCTTTCAAAGTTGCAATTTCCGTAATCCACTCCGTTCTTAATGTATCAAGATTATCCTGTTTTTCTTTTAAAACTGTTTGTAATTGCATATCTTCTGTTTCTAATTGTGCAAATCTTGTTAATACTTCTTTGATTTTCCTGTAAAAATAAGTTTTTTAATTTTGAGTACACAAATGGAGGTCTGTGGGCTTCGGTAATCCGAACATTCCAATAATCCGGCATTTTCCGGTTTTTAATAGAGCTGGATTAGTTTTTTTTATTTCATAAGGTGGCAAACGAGTGAACGGCCTCCTGAAATCGCTGAAATAGCGAAGTGACCGTTTCCCATAGACATATGCAATTGCATATATGTTGCCTGTCTTTAATCGACGGAGGAAAGGATGCACAAAAGGAAAGTCACTTCCACTTCCCATTGTTTCCTTTAAAGAAAAACGGTGGGAAGAGAAAGAGGACTAAATTAGGCCTCCAGGACGCACACTCATCAGACTGTAGTTGGAATTGATTCCACTTGACGCCAGTCTTCTGTGTGGTCGTGGTATTTCACCGGGCGAGCCGGGCCAATTCGTGCGAAGATGTTAAAGCGGGCTATACCACTGTTAAGCTGTTGTGTGTATATGAAGATACATACCATTTTCTTTCTAACATTTCTTGATCGAGACTTTGGTCAGGTGAAATTAATAAACTTTTTACAGCATTTGTTTGAGTCACAGATTTTATAACTTGTTTTTCAATAAGCAAAGTTACTGCAGTCTCTTCGTAGTTCTTGATAATGTTATCCTTATCTCCATTCTCAATGATTTCTTGAGAAGCTTAAAAAATAAATAAGGCCCATGATTATTCTATTATTACGAAGTACTAATTGTCGTTCGCGTGTAATTAAAAAAACATAATAAGTAGCCTATGTTTTCTATGTGTGCGAAATTTCATCAAAATCCGCTGTGCCATTGTGGTGATACGTTCAAACAAACACCCAACCATCTAATCTATCGCATTTATAATATAAGATTAAAAGTTCGTACAGTTTATACGAAAAATACTAAACTAATTTTAAAATTATTTTAACGAAATCAATTACTACTCTAATATGTATAAATAACTCATGTTTGAGTTGTAATACTTACAAGCTAATGGTTTTGCCTTTAATAATCTTAATTTCGAAGTAGCTAAATTTATATCTTTTATTTTCTTTGCGATGCCATCTTCATAACAATGATTGCCGGTCACTGTAAATAACTCTGTAGATGCAGTATTTAATTGTTCCTTAAAAGTATCGCTGATTTCCTTTAACGTTGCAAATCCATTCATTTTTATTAACAAACCATTGATCGTTTTAGAGAATATTTATTTTAATGCTATTTTAGAATCGAAATTTTCGACCGTTATTTTTTGTCAAATGTCAATGTCAATATGATGAAAATTTACAAAGGCACTTTGACAAGAGAAACATCTTTTTCAATTACAATAAAATATCCAAAAACTTATTTATATAATTTTCAGTATTTTCAATAATCGCAATATCATTAAATTTAAATATCATTTCTTTTTATTATGTTGCACTCAACTAATTTTGGTATCATTTCTGTGACCTGTGTTTTTGACAAAGGTAGAATGTGACAGTAACATTTTTAAATTTCGTCATATGTCATTGGCATAAAAATGTCAACAAAGTGTATAATAAAAGAATCCGATTGTAATGATTTTTAGCTTAGTTTATGAGAAAAGATAAACGCGATGTATTAAGCTTAATATTTAACAACTATCTGACTGTTAAAGTGACACAGTTGTACATTTTCTGCAAAATGTCCGATGAAAACTATCTCTGTTCTCTACCTACCGAGATAATACTTTACATTTTTACATATTTACCTGTAAAGGACTTAATCAAATGCCGTCAAGTGTCTATAAGATTGAAACAAATAGCCGATAGTTTGATTAGAAGCGAAGGTTTATGGCGTGAACACTGCAGAAAAGATTTTTCTAACGTATACAAAATCGCTCGTTATAAATCCAGACCTGGGATGCTTTGGTATAATATTTACAGATCTTTATCTTTATGGTCAAAGTTGGCCATTGCCCGTGAAGAATATGATGAATTCGCATCAGCTTCTGATTTAAATAATGAAATTTCGAATGTCATTATTCTGAAAGATGGTATTATCGGCGTCCATACACAAAGTGCTATTGTGTACTACGAATTAGAGACTTTAGAAAAAGCCAAACGTGGAGCAATAACTGGAACATATTTACGTTATTTGGAGAATGATGATACCATCGTAATTTTGAACTATAACCTCCAATTATTTATAATCAGAAAGGTAATCCAAAATCCACGTTTTGAAACAAATATAACATTTGACAATGTCAAAAGCTTCTTACTTGTTGATGAAGTGATATATTTTGTAACATTAGCTGATGATATATACGTATGTCAGTTGGAGAATCTCTCAAATGTAAGATTAGGGCATTCCGATGATGGAATAATGTCGTTAAGCTTCTGCCGTAATAAACTACATATTTTAACTTTTCAACGGAGTATACTATCTTATAATGAAGGAAATATAACCCACAAATGTACGATAACATCAGAAACTAATTTATTAAACCAATTAGCGGAATATAACTTTTTGGAGACACTCGATTGGAGGATTTATAATCATTGGATGTATGTACTTAATTTAAAACTACCCAATGGACCGTTAAGAGATATAATAAAGGTCCATGTATATGGTGATGTTGTATTCGTTGGATCCAATTGGGGTGTTCTACGTATATACTATTCTCCATATTTTGATGGTTTATTTGACATATATGATTCGGAACCAGTGAGGCAGTTTAATTTTATGGATAGATCGGATTGTCCCGTGTTAACTTATTGTCCTATAATCCAGATAGATGTTTGTGAATGTGAGGATGGGCATACAGTGATTGTAGCTATGCCGAAGAAGATAGCAGTGTTGAATTTCACACATAGCTTCAAGAGAACAGCCTCAGTGGCGATGCTACCGTACAACGATATACCAAAGACGAAAACGTTAAGGATTCAAGAATTAAATTGTAATTAAAATAAAGGTAAGAAAAGTCATTACCCTGCTCTTGTGTTTACTTAGCCACCAAAGTATACTACTCTTCCATACAGCTCTATAAGTCATATCAGAATTCTGTCTCTTCTCTAGTATATCCTCTTTCATACAATACTTTCATCTGTCTTCCAATAACTTTGTAACAACAATCTTATTCCTTTGATTATTATTCATGTCTATACTAGCTATCGCCTGTGGCTCCACATGGAATTAAAATAAACTTATTAGCCTATGTGTCCGCCAGACCATGTTCTACATCTATGACAAATTACAGCGAGATCTGTATAATAAATTGTAAATTTAATCGGTTTTTAATCTCGCAAGTTAACAGTTTGTTATTCAAATAAAATGAGCTGCAACTCACGGTTTATATGTGTGCAGATCTGTGAACCTGCTTATGGATTAGCTCATTTTGTACCTGCAATGAGTGTCAATGACTCAGGGGGACTTGCATTCTGCAGATCTTGTGTTTGAATACCGGCATGTATTCATATGTACATTTATCCTATGTTGGTACGGTGAAGGAAATTATTGTGATGCATATATCTGACAAAGTCAAAGATATGTGTGAAGTCTTGCACTGGGCCAGTATTCACTATCATATACTCTTACTTATAGGCTCGGGAGATCCTCAGTGGGGATGTTTAGTGAGCTGATCTATCTGCATTCTGCAGCTGTTCAGAGCTGATTTACACATATCTTCTAATAGTACATTTTGAAGACCAGAATCAAAAGTAGAGGAAGACCATAGTCAGTATTGTGTGACAGATGATATGCGTATGGAAGAGTAAATGGCGACATTATGTACGTAAAGGGTTTGGCTGCGACTGGAATCAATTTTGATAATGATTCTATAGTATTCTATCAGTTTATAATATACCAAGTGAGATTGTAAACTGACAAATACACCCACTAGGAAATAATAAAATACTTATTGTGCTATCACTGCCATATTAAAAGCCTCTTGCTCACCTTCGTTAGATGTAAAAGTTTAAGGGAAACTATACCATATATCATTGAAATAAGGTTGGTTTTTACAAAATTATTTATGAATTTTACGTAATCGATAGGAAATCTAGTTATATTAAGCTGTTTTTTGCTGTATTTGTGTAAAAATAGATTTTTACTTATAAAATATCTGCACAAAACACTATATGACTCCCTGACACTCAAAGGACACCGCACTCTTTGTTTCAGTCCTTTAGTTTACAGTTTGTTAGGAAGAAAATTCGATACTGTGCCAGTGTACAGGCACAACACTAGCTTTATAAAAATGTCAACGTTTATGTCCCCTCACTAATTACTGACAGTTGACTTTGTAATGAAAGCGCGCCATTCGCGCCAAAGGACTTTAATGTCTTAACACACCAACATATAAAAAACTTACATAAAAACCCCGTTGTCAGTTGAGTTGTCATCAAAAACTCTGTTTTTATTTATAGATAGAAAATTTTATATTAGATTACTGTATAGTTTAATCAGGAATATAATAAATCTCGACATTTATGGAAAAAGTTACATATGTTACTTTTCAGGTCACTTTAAAGGTCAGGCTAAGATTTTTTTTTATATCATAAGGTGGCAAACGACCGGGCGGCCACGTGAAATCGCTGAAATAGCGAAGTGACCGTTGCCCATAGACATACGCAATTGCATATGCGTTGCCTACCTTTAATCGACGGAGGAGAGGATGCACAGAAAGAAAATATTTTCCCTTCACATGCATCCTCTCATCCGGAAAGTCCACTTCCACTTCCCATCCTTTCCTTATAAGGAAAAGGATGGGAAGGGAAAGAGGACTAAATTAGGCCTCCGGGACGCACACACATCAGACGAAACGCGGAATTGCTTCCACTTAACGCCTGTCTTCTGTGTGGTCGTGGTATTTCACCGGGCGAGCCGGGACAATTCGTGCGAAGATGTTAAAGCGGGCTCTACCACTGTTGAGATTTGTCATATTCTTGATTAGACTTAATATAATTTAGCTTTTTTCTGATGTGAACCATTGATTTGTTTTAAACAAAACTTAATTGCAATATTATTATAGTATAGATTGTTAAATTTGCTTGGTGATGTACCCAAGTTTAATTTTAAAATGTAAAACATTTTATTCTTAAAGTATTTATTGAATCTATTACATAAGGAATGTGGGTAGTAACAAAAAATTACACTTGTTTACAAAGCCAATGTTTGAAAAAATGTGGTATCAGTATAGAGCAGTCTTTCTTAAAGCGATAACGTCCCCTTGTGGGCTGCAGGTCTCAAGTTGCGAGTTATAGTAAAAGTTTTGTTTAGAATTCTCCGTTAATATACATATATAGGTTACAATAATTAATTATTTTATTTGAAGTTATAGTGGTTTGTAAATATGTGAAAATATGGGGGCGCTAAAAAAATATTTATTCTCAAAGTGGGCAGTAGACAAAATAAGTTGGGGAACCACTGGTATAGATTATGGAAATTCTTTACTAAGGTGCACTTATAGCTCTTAAATTCAAAGTGCACTGATAAAACTTTTTTCTTACTACCCACATTATTTTTAATTATTAAACTAATATTATTTGCGTTGTGATGAAATAGGCTGTAATTTTGTTCAATAAAAAAAGCTTTTTAAATTGTTGTTTTATTTAAATTTAATGGTAAAGTGCTATATTTTAAGAATCTAAGAATTTCCATAGACGAAAAACTTATATGCAAACATATTTATCATCCATAGACAAAGTCCATTCGCTACAAAGCGATTCCATAGCGAATGCGCTTTGTTTTACCCATCATATTGTCTTTTAAAAAGCTGTCAGCTTTTTGAATGGAATTTTTCGGTCCAAAATAACATAATCTGACAGACGTCAGATTATATGTATGAGTGAAATTAATGTTTTTTTTTAATTTTCCTTATATGGTTATAACTTGTAGTTTATTAACAGTTGTCTTGTGAAAGTGTTTCACTTCAAGTGGAGATGGAATTTTACTTTGGTTTGCTTTACGTTGTGGTCTTGGATAACTTATTATTTTACTTTTTGGTATGAATTTTTTGAAGGATTTAATTAATTTTGGATTGTCATAGTCACATTCTGCGTTCCTTGTTTTAGAAGCGATGCCGTCAACAAATGATATATGATTGTCTTTATTTCTATGCCTCGCTAATGTTTTTAAAGCTTCAAACATATTACGTGGCTCCTCGTATATAGGTAACTGCAATTCTTTTTTAATTAAACTTATAAATTCTTTCTTACTGTTTCTTTTAATATCTTTATAGTTATGTTTTTTATTTGTTCTCGTCTGTTTGGAATGTATAAAAGATTGTGTTTTTAGGTTATTTTTAACAAGGGTTTTAGGTTTTTTAAGTCTCGGTTTCGATTCATCTTCTATTATGTAAAATTTGTTTGATATATTATTATCCGTCAAATCGATATCGTAGTTATTTTGTAATGTATTCCTTGATATAGATTTTTGTGATTTTATAAATGTTCTTTCTGTTTTACTTGTTGATGGTATTTCATGTATATTTTCATCGTTATTTGGATCTATAAAATCAACACAAAGGTTAAATACTTCATTAGGTTTCTCTTTACTTATAATAGCTTGTTCAGAACTTTTAATTTTTTCTTTTCTTTTTATCCAACCTTCTAGAACTTCGTCAGCAATTCTATCAAAGCCACTGCATGTTTGATGTATCTCTTTATTACAAATATTGCTTGGATTATCTTGTTTGCTTATCATTGATATTGTATTAGTAATACTTTCATAATTATAATTTCTAGATGGAAGAACGTAAATTATATCATCATCTTTATTGCTTTTTTTATAAGACGATTTAGATTTAGCTTTAACTTTTAAGTCTTTCGAATTATTCACATCGTTTGTACTATTATCATTCTGTTCTGTTTTATTATTCCTATTTTTACGTTTAGTTTTAACAACTTCGTGTGTTATGAATTTACGATTTCCTAATAAAGATGTTGTTATGACGGTAGATGAGAATTTTCTTTGATTTTCTTTTTTCTCTGTACGATTCTTTGGTGTCGGTCCATCATCGAGATTGTCTATGAAAGATTACAATAGAACGATTGTTAATTATCCATTAACTCTTAACTAAGTTCTAAATTTGTGCTATTTGAAAACACACATATTAGGCTATTGGATTTTCTTTTATATCATAAGATGGCAAACGAGCAAGCGGCCACCTGAAATCACTGAAACAGCGAAGCGACTGATGCCCATAGACATACGTAATTGCATATGCGTCACCCACCTTCAATCGACGGAGAGGATGCACACAAAAAAAATATTTTCCCTTTCCATGCATCCTCTCATCCGGAAAGACTGCTTCCACTTCCCATCCTTTCCTTATAAGAAAAAGGGTGGGAAGGGAAAGAGGACTAAATTAGGCCTCCAGGACGCACACTCATCAGACTGTACAATGAATAGCTTCCACCTGACGCGTGTCTTCTGTGTGGTCATGGTATTTCACCTGGCGAGCCGGGACAATTCATGCGAAGATGTTAAAGCGAGCTCTACCACTGTTGTATGTCCTATAAAACGCATCCATCGTTCCGTGTGTTCCGGATACTTAATTTTAGTCCTCTTTCCCTTCTAAGGATGGGAGGGTATAAGTGCCTTCTGTGCGTCTCATAGGCAATGCATCTGCAATTGCTAATGTCTATGGGCAGCGGTTATTTCGCCATTTGCAAAAATGACCGTGAGTGGGAAACTGTCAAAATACGACTATAAATAAATTTACTGAAACTTATTTGGAAATAATAATTACCGTCCGTGTTTAATTTTGGCGGATTACGAACGACGTACGGTCCACGTGTCTTCAAAGTGTATTTATCGACGCTTTTGTTTGTTTCGTTCGAATTCATATAGTTGTCAGATTTCGTTAAGAATCTTCGTTTGGATCGTTTTGATTTTACGGCACCGCTTCTATTCTTGGATTCCATTTTGTGTTGTGATTATTTCATGTCGGTTTTATTGTATTTTCAACAAATTTAGTTAGATTTTTTGCATGTTGACACCATTTTATATTTTTTTGATTTGACAGTTGGTACGAAAAAGTTTGACGCCTTGAGGCTTTTATATCGTTTAATGTTTTTTTATTTAGTTCTAAAATAAATTCTTGGATAAGGTTTATTATTAAATAATATTTAAATTCTTTTAACTTAAAACAATAAGTAAATAAATGGTTGTATATTTTTTATTCTTTTTTATGGCAAAAACTTTATATTTTAAACCTCCTTGGAATTTGCATCTCGATGACCTAAAACTGTCAAGTGTCATTTCATAATATCGATTCAAAAAAAATTCTATAGTGAAAAAACTTGAAAATTCTAAAGTAAAAATGTATAAGAAAAACTTAAAAACACAGGAATATACAGAGAAAAGGTTTGATGATAAAAATAAACCTAGAGACGTAGAAATCGTTTTAAGAAAGATAAATAGGAATAATAGATTCGAGTCGACGAACCTACGAATACCAAGAATCTTACATGACAGGGGTGATGCTAAAAATACAAAAGTCGATGCTAAATTCAAATATGATTCTTCCAAAGTGAACAGAGCAACTGAAGCTAATGCTAAATGTATTAAAACAGAAACAATATCATATAGAAATAATTCGTTTAGAAAAATAAACGGATCAAATAAAATTATTCCTAACAAAGATGTATCCAACGATAGTAAATTAAAATTAACAAATATAAAAACGGAAAACAAGGAAAAGGTGGTCGAAGACAAGAAAGTCTTGGAAAAGGAACCACAGATTCAAAAAACATTAGTAAAAAATGGTATGTCATTAAAGTAAATGGACTTTACATACGACAAAAAGCATTTAACCGACTTTACGGTGAAGGAAAACATCGTGATGCTGCACATATCTGAGAAAGTCAAAGATATGTGTCAAGTCATGCACTGGACCAGCATTCACTATCACATAGTCTCACTTAGGGTTTAGAAACATTAGTTTTCTACGATGAACCTAGCAAAGCCTTAGGATGATGACGAAAAGAGTTAAATCTTTCTTTAGTGTCATAAAAGAGGTTACATTTTTCGTCTTGTAGGTTTGTAATTAAATGCCATTATAGATTGTGTGAGCGTCGGTGGCTCAGGGATCAAGCACTTGACTTGCAATCTGCAGGTCCTGGGTTCGAATCCCGCCATGTACCGATGTGTTTTTCGATTTAAATATGTACATTTATCAAACGTTTTTACGGTGAAGGAATACATCGTGATACAACCTGCACATATCTGAGAAGAAATTCTAAGATATGTGTGAAGTCAACCAGCACTTGGCCAGTGTGGTTGACTATGGCCTAATCACCCTTAATTTAGGGTAGGCTCCGAGCCCCTCGGTGGGGACGTATAGCTGATGATATAGATGATGATAGATTGTGTTCAGTAAAAACCTAAGTTTATTTAAATGTCTTATTTTTAGATCGAATTGGAACGGAAAAATCAAAGGTGAGTGATGAAAAGAAGCCTAAAATAAAGGAAATTATCACTATACCATATTTACCTCTCGATGATTCGGTCACACAAATAACTGATGAAGAAATATCGGAACCGATTAAACCGATAATAAAAGACACAACAAAATCCACCCCTAAAACATTATCACCGAAAACTGTAACTTTTAAAGATCAACGATTAAAATCAGCTAAAAAAACTGAGAATAAAGATAATAAAATGAAAAATATATCTAATATAAAAATGAAGAATAATAAAAGCAAAACACCAACGACTACGAAAGGTCTGCGTCGAAGGAAGAGATTTTCTGCGTCACCTGCCAAATGTGTCATTAACGAATTCCCGCCAACTGAAGTTGTCAAATGGGAGCCATCTTGTTTGACGAGTCAAACGCAACCGTATTATGAGGCCTGGGTCGACACTACTCTGACGGCGTTTTCTAAATATTCGGAACATGAGAAAAGTATTATGGAGAAGGATTTATTGAAGGCGTTGCAACATTTAAAAAGGCCTGTTTCTCCTGAACTTATTTATGAGAGGTTCAAAGATGAGAGATACACTGGTAGAATTAGGATAAGACGTAAATGATGTATCGTCAAATTTATTGTGTAGTGTGATTTAGTTTAATGAAGTTTTTTTCTTTTTTTGAATTAAAAAATAAGTTTTTAAATACTTTTTAATTTGTCAACCAGCATTATTTAAAAGTATAGGAAGATATTTTCAAAATATGTCAAACACTGACCTTCATAAATGTACAGGCTATAAGACTTAGTTTCTTGTGCCCATTTGAATTTCGGCATTTTAGCGCTGATGGCGGATGCATCATGATTTTTACAGTGGTAGAGCCCACTTTAACATGTTCACACGAATTGTCCTCGCCCGGTGAAATACCACGACCACACAGAAGACAGGCGTCAAGTGGAAACAATTCCGCGTGCAGTCTGATGAGTGTGCGTCTCGGAGGCCTAATTTAGTCCTCTTTCCCTTCCCATCCTTTTTCTTATAAGGAAAGAATGGGAAGTGGAAGTGGACTTTCCGGATGAGAGGATGCATGAAAAGGGAAAATATTTTCTTTCTGTGCATCCTCTCCTCCGTCGATTAAAGGCAACGCATATGCAATTGCGTATGTCTATGGGCAACGGTCACTTCGCTATTTCAGCGATTTCAGGTGACCGCTCGCTCGTTTGCCATCTTATGATATAAAAAAAAACAAAGGCATTCAATCAACATAAATTTTAATGGAAAATTAACTTAAACATAAATAAATATAATAATATAACCATAGATTCAAAACCTAAAATCAGAAAATCGAAACCTTTTATTGGGGGTAAATGAAATTCGTAAAATCTCGATTAGACGTCAAACTGACACTTTTAGGTTATGGATCTATGATTGACAATTATATTTTGGAAAGAAAATAATTAACAAGATACTTTAAAGTTGCAATTTAAGCAACTAAGTTAAACTCAACTTGAGACTGGTAATAATACTTAATTCTAAAGGAAAGATAAAGTCAAGTATGTATTTAATTGCGGAGTTTTTTCGCAAGAAAATCAAAAAGTATCCATCTGGAAACATCACTGGTCTATATTCAAACCGTTTAATATTGTTGTATGTCCATCCATACATACAAATTTAGTACAATGATCGAAATCCACTAAAAGATTAAGCATAGATTAACTATGGGAAAAGTAAATGTCTTGCTAACTTCAGAAACCGTACATAACAAATGTCTAGTAAGTCTGAATTAAGTAAATAATTAACGTATACCTAAAAAGATATTTAAAAAAGATGAAATCGTGTAATATAAAAAGGGAAGTTGTTTGTCTACCACAACCACGTCCCTTTGTAACGTACAAATCTTAGTCCCTCCTACAATTCAAAAGCGGGTAATATAACGAGATAAAATGACAATTTTAACTTTATTAAATGCCATTTTTAAAGTTGTTAAATCTTGATAAACATCAAACTCCAATCGACAAATATTTTAGTATAAACGATTGAGTTTAATGTACATAATTACGACTAGTCGCAACAACTAGGACAGACAGAATGGGAAAGTTATTGCAAAGTTATAAATGGTCCTTCGTACAAGGCACTCGCCTATGGCCTAGTCACATGACTTAGGGAAGGCTCCAAGCACCTCAATGGGGACGTATAGTGAGCTGATGATGATAATAAGGTAACGCAAATCTTCTATTAGGTCAGAAGATTTGTTCCACCATCTTGAAAATCAAGGAGACTGCGAGTAAATTGAAAAGTTACTTACTTTCGTATTTTATGAGCGACTCCGCTAAGTTTCTACCAGTTTTGGTCCCATCGGGGCCCTTTATTAGGGTGAATGAGACGGGTACCTCGCGGAGACGGAAACTAACTTACTAATGAAGGGCCCTAAGGGGCCCTAATCGGTATAGACACCGGACGAACATACGTGACAGTTTAAATCGTGTAAATATTATAATAGTTGTCAACCGCGACTCCGTCCGCGTCAAATTAAAAAATAACTTAATAAGTAGTCTATGTGTTCTTCCAGACTATGTTCTACATCTATAATCAAATTCCAGCGAGATACATAAAGCAGTTTTGAAGATACATCTAAACATTCGCATTTATAATATCAGTAAGATTAATATTGCAGTTTTCCTTTATGTTGTCAATACAAAAATTGCTTTGTCAAAGTCAAATCCTAATTACTATAGTAAATATATAAGATCAATCATATCATGTCTTGAAAAAATATCGCCCAATAGTGAACAGAAATTCTAAGAAGTCAAGTATGGAAAATATACAATAATGCCCAAAAGTGGGCATAAGTTAATAATATTAAATACAACCTAACTTAACTCTTAAGAATAATAGTTTAGTGATTGCCTAGTACTGAACAAACTTCTATCAGTGGGAAAAAAACAAAATTTACAAATCATTTGCAAATAAGTAGAGCAAAGTTGGACAACTAAATATTTGCCCTACTTAGAGCAACTTAATATTTGCCCTACTTAGAGCAAATAAATATTTGCCCTACTTAGAGCAACTAAATATTTGCCCAACGTAGAGCAACTAAATATTTGCCCTACTTAGAGCAACTAAATATTTGCCCAACGTAGAGCAACTAAATATTTGCCCTACTTAGAGCAACTAAATATTTGCCCAACGTAGAGCAACTAAATATTTGCCCAGCTTTGAGCAACTAAATATTTACCCAACTTAGAGCAACTAAATATTTGCCCAGCTTTGAGCAAATAAATATTTACCCAACTTAGAGCAACTAAATATTTACCCAGCTTTGAGCAACTAAATATTTACCCAACTTAGAGCTACTAAATATTTGCCCAACGTAGAGCAACTAAATATTTGCCCTAATTAGAGCAACTTAATATTTTCCCAACGTACAGTAACTAAATATTTTCCCAAGGTAGAGCAACTAAATATTTGCCCAACGTAGAGCAAATAAATATTTGCCCAGCTTTGAACAACTAAATTTTTGCCCAACTTTGCTTAACCAATATTTGCCCAACATTGTCTGAGTATTACATCATAGCTGCTATCAAATCGGGGGCATCAACTAAATACAATCCTTTATCTAGTTTGGTACATTTGGTGACCTTGAGACGACCTCTACCCTCGTCATTTATCTCCATATGTTGTATGGCTTTAGATAATTGTTCCGCTGATGGTACTTTAGGAAAATCTGAAAGAAAAGGCGCTAAATTAGTATATTTACTAACATAGTAGCTATCACCCGCGATTCTGAATTAAAGAAACTTAATCAGTAGTCTATGTGTTCCAGACTATGTTCTATATGTATGACAAATTTCATCAAGATCCGTTGAGTTGTTCCGGAGATATCTTCTAACATACATCTAAACATTCGTTTTTATAATATTAGTAAGATAAGATTCTCTGATCACAATGTTAGTTACAATACTTCTCCAAAGCAATTCGAGTCAATTTTATTAAATTCTATATGCATTTTTATTACTCTGAAAATCCTTTACCAATGTATTTTTCATTCCCGCATGAACGTAGTCGCGGGCGACAACTAGTAATACTATAAATGCGATTGCTTAGATGTATGTTTGTTAGATAGCATCTCCAAAACGATTAAACGGATTTCAATGAAATTTGTCATACATATAGAACATAGGAAGAACACATAAGACAACTAATTAAGCTTATTTTATTAGACGTAGACGGAGTCTCGATACAGAACTAGTATTAACTATATATAAATCTACTCTATTGTCCCAGTCTGTGTGAATGAAGTCAAATGCTTTAAAAATATTGATTTCCTTCATTTTTCTATTTTTAATAACAACGCCATCTATCTTACCTTTAATTTCCAAATGCGACGCCAGCGCCGGTATTCCAGTGACAAATTCCGGCAACATTTTCCTCAGAGCAACAACAGGGACTACTTCCATATTGCCGTAGTCAATATAACATAGACGAGCACTCACACCACCAGCTCCGGACACTTGCTCACAGAATACTGCGCGGAACCATTGAGGATCTGGAAAAAAACCTAGATTTAGAAATCTGAATCTCTGCATCCATCCTAAGTGAGAGTATGTGATAGTGAATGCTGGTCCAGTGTAAGACTTGACACATATGTTTGAGTTTGTCATGGCGTTGGCATCGACTTAAAACGCGATATTGAAGTTCAGTTCCGTTCTTTTTTTTTTATCATAAGGTGGCAAACGAGCGAGCGGCGAAGTGACCGTTGCCTATAGACATACGCAATTGCATATGCGTTGCCTAACTTTAATCGACGGAGGAGAGGATGCACAGAAAGAAAATATCTTCCCTTTCTATGCATCCTCTCATCCGGAAAGTCCACTTCCACTTCCCATCCCTTCCTTTAAAGAAAAACGGTGGGAAGGGAAAGAGGAGTAAATTAAACCTCCGGGACGCACACTCATCAGACTGTAGTTGGAATTGCTTCCACTTGAAGCCTGTCTTCTGTGTGGTCGTGGTATTTCACCGGGCGAACCTGGCCAACTCGTGCGAAGATGTTAAAGCGGGTTCTACCACTCTCAAAAACGTATGTAACTTGTTAGAAGATATCTCCAGAACAGCTGCATGGATCTTGATGAAATTTGTCATACATATAGAACATAGTCTGGAAGAACACATAGACTACTTATTAAGTTTTTAAAAAACAATATATACTCACAAGGCGGGCATTGCGCGATGCACAATTCTTCCAATTTGGGCAAATAAGGCTCTTTACCAATTTCACTATTACAATATGCCTCCATCTACAAAAATAAACATATTTAACAAAACAATGAATTTATACTTAGCGTCAATATCCTAATGTATAAGGGTACGGATTTCCGATCACGAGGTCGTGGGTTCGAATCCCGGTATTTGACTATTGTCGTAAACCATATCCTAGCACAAGCCTAGAGCTTAGTTGGAATGGTAGAAAGAAATATTAGTAAATTTACTAAAAAATCTGCTAATATTTTATAAAAAAAAAAGAATTAATAATCAGAAAAAAATCTTTGATAATAAAATCCTAAAGAAACAGTAAGGGAATGATCACGCATACGCAGTGGATCTCAAGTGTCGACCTAAATAAACATAATATCAGAGTAAATTCCAACGTATAGCAGTTTAGTGATGTACAATTTTATCGATATCAAACTATTTTCTTAAATAGAATTTCCACGCATCCATATCTTTCTCAGTTCTATAATCTTATTATAAGAAAGAGGGTGAAAAGGGAAAGAGAACTGTAGTTGGAATAGCTTCGCATTTGAAACGTGCCTTGTGTTAATGCTGACTCTACCACTGTTGAAATCTTACTAATATTATAAATGCGAATGTTTAGATGTATGGATGGTTGTTTGTTTGTTAGAAGATATCTCCAGAACGACTGAACGAATCTCGATGAAATTTGTCATACTTATAAAACATAGTCTGGAAGAACCAATAGCCTACTAATTAAGTTTTTTCTTTAATTCCGGGCAGATGTCGCGGGCGACATCTATACTATTTACAAAACTATTTTTAAATTGTCATATCACGATGTATGTTCGCGATAAACTCCAAAACTATTGTTCCAATTCTTATGACATTTTATCTTATATATAAAATTCTCGTGTCACAATTTTCGTTCCCATACTCCTCCGAAACGGCTTGACCGATTCTCATGAAATTTTGTGAGCATATTGAGTAGCTCTGACAATCGGACAACATCTATTTTATAATCCCGCGTGGACAGAGTCGCGGGCGACAGCTAGTAATCTAGCTAAGTACAACTTTGGGACACAGGGTAGTATTTAGCGCAAATATTGATTATTTTTATTTAATTCCTCGCAGACGAAGTTCATTATTATAGTAAAATAAAATGTATTTCATTGTGAATATTTGAAAAATAGCTTAGCCAGCGTGGTTGACTATGGCCTAGTCACCCCTAACTCAGGGTAGGATCCCAGACCCTCAATGGGGGAGTATACTGAGCTGATGAATCAATGAATAAGATTAAATTTCTAGATTTATTCACCTGTTGAGACAATTCTTCTAGAATCTTCTTAGCTAGTGTCTCCCCCTTCATATAACCAGATATAGTTGCGCCATCTAGCGAGCTGATATCCAACACTTCAATCTCGCAGCCACTTTCTGGTAATTCCAACTGTTCCAAATCACTATACATTATACAAGGAGTTTCTGTGAACAAAGAATTTAAAAAAAATCATTAAAAAAATAAAAACATCTCTTTGGAAGATCACGAATTGATTGACACTTTACTTATCAAAATCTGTACATTCGTTTAAGATACAGGATGTTACAAAACACTCCGTCTTTTTCCCCTTTCTGTTGGAAGGGGAATTGTTTTGGATTGGACAGATGATGGGGATGTGTCCCTTCCTCTGTCGATTGAATGTACCATCTGCAAATGCAGGGTTAGACAAAGTGCATTCCGTAGTGACTCCATAACGAATTTCTAATATGAATAGAGCTGGCGGCAATTACAGGACTTATCGAAAGTTATCGCTTCTGAGCGAATGCACTTTGTGTAACCACGGTAGATCTATGGGCAGCTATCAATTTCGCCATTTTGACTAATTCACGTCTAGTTAATTAGTCATTTTAGGGTTCCGTACCTCATCGGAATAAAACGGAACCCTTATAGGATCACTTTGTTTACTATAAAAATACTCACCAATAACATCTACACCTATTTTCTCCATTTTCTTCCACTCCGGTGTACATAATTCCTCCAATTTTGTATTCACACATTCCTTTGTGTCGGCAACCACGAGTTTTACTTCTGCACCACTTGGCGCTGTCTTTGCACCATTTGCATTTGTCTGTGGAAAATTAATATAATATTTAAGAGAAATAACAATCATGTACTTTGTCTTCGCTCTAATACTATTCTTGGACAGGGGAGGGGACGTATAGGAAAGACTTTTCTCCTTCTAATACGTCCAAAAACACTTTTTTTCGCAACTTTTTGTAACGAAGGGTAGGGGAAGAGTTAACTGTGGTAGATGCCAACAAAATCTGTTTGGTTTGTAAGATGCTATCACTACCATACAAGACTGGCAATTTTAGTCCTCTCCCCGTCCCACACTTTTCTTGTAAGTTAAAGAAGGGACTAGGAAATGACTATTTCGGCTAATTTAAGTGGCTCGTTAACTTCCTTTTATTATAAAAAGACTAGATTCTACATTTTTGTCAAATTTCAGCGAGATCCATTCAGCTGTTCTGGAGATACCTTATAACAAACATCTAAACATTCGCAATTATAACACTACTAGCTATCGCCCACGACTCCGTCCGCGCGGAATTAAAAAACACATAATAAGTAGCCTATGTGTTCTTCCAGACTATGACAAATTTCATCAAGATCTGTTCAGACGTTCTTGAGAACAACAAACAAACATCCATCAAAACATTTGCATTTATATTCGTAAGATTACACATACCAGTATCAATTCAATGCAGGAATCCTTCAAATGTTCAATATATTCAACAGCGGATGGTGTGATATTAAAGTCACCAGTCAACAGAGACACCTGGCTGGCTTCAGCCGGCTGAGAAGAGAGGTCAAACTCCTCTGGACACGGATAAAGATCTTCTAACTTTGATATTTCTAAGTTACCTGGAAATAATAATTAAAAAATGTTGTATAAGCGTCTGTGTCTCAGTGGTTAATCAGTTGACTTGCAATCAGCATGCTCCTGTGTTGTAATCCCGTGATGTATGAATGTGTTACATTTACATATGTACATTTATCCTATGTTGTTACGGTGAAGGAAAACATCGTGATGCTGCACATATCTGACAAACTCAAACATATGTGTCAAGTCTTGCACTGGACCGGCATTCACTATCACATACTCTCACTTAGGGGAGGTACGGAGACCCTCAGCGGGGATGTATAAATATAATATTAAAAATACTAACCAAATTCAACATATTCTAGTAAATATTTATTCTGCTTAACGTTAGTTCTTTTACAAATAGCACGATAGTGAAGTCCATCTGAATACTTTGCTACGACTAGTTGACCTTTATTTGGTGGTTCCGTTAAAGGTTCCGCTGAAATGAGTATTATGTTATTATTCACATTAAGCGTGGGTTTCTGACATTCAAAATCATTATATAAAATATTGTTATCCTGTCAAAGATTTATCTTATAGAGATTTTGATATCAGAAACCCATTTTTACACAATTTAGCAGTCGATTTGTAATTTAGTTAGTATTGTTATGACATAAAACATACGGGTGACATAAAAATAACATTAGCTTAGGGTCGGTACAGTGGTTATCTCTACTCTTCCATACATGCCTAAATAAATTAATAGTGACAAAGTGACATACAAATTGTGGGAGATATAAATATTGTCAGTGACAGATATTGACAAGTGATATAAAAACTTGTCTGGACATAAATATTGACAAGTGACATACAAATATGTCAGTGACAAATATTAACATGTGACATAAAACTCGTCAGTGACATAAAAACTTGTCAGTGACTTATATATTGACAAGTGACATAAAAAACTTGTCAGTGACATGACTCACCACTCTGTCCATACAACACAACACCCTGTAGCACAGAATCGTATCGTCGTTGCGCAGTGACGTCAGCGCTGCGTACAAACGCGCGCTTCAGCTCCGTAGCTTCGACTAAAAGTACGCGCGACTTGTCGCACACGTCCGGTCGCAAGATCTCCGGTATCACTAGAGCTGTAAAGTTAAGTTTTGACTATAAAGAAAAGGACTAGGCGAAGAGTCATAAATGTGGTGAGGTGGTGGGCAGAATGAAAGATTTTCGTCTTCTTATTATTTTATTTACTGCTTTATAATATCTTTTCACTTGCACTCGTTTCGTCTTGCCGTCCTTCCATTATTCATTCCGCTCGCACTGTCATACTTCCGTTCCATTCTGTCCAATCAGTCATTCATGCATCTCAATCTTAATTGTCTAACATTCGTTCAAAAACCACAGCCCTACATAAATAATAAACAAATTCAAAATCATGATGATCTAGTCCAATTATGACTACGCTCAACAGGTCCTGTCATTTAATAGTCAAAGAGATCAAATTATATTAAGAAACGAAAAGAAAAACAATGTATAAAAATCCACCGTATAAAGACCGTTAGTTTACAAACTCACCGACACTAGCAACTGAATATTCAATTTCGGGACACCATCTTTTAATTTCTCCTTCGCCGACACTAGCGCCGCTCGCGACATTCTCAACAGCTACAATGTAGCCATCTTTTAGTTTGGTTTTCAGTGTACACTTCACATTATCACCGATCTGGAATATAATGAAAAAAAATGGTAACATCCTGTATCTTAAATGAGTGAACAGATTATGACAAGTGAGGTGTCATTCGATTAGTATTCTTCCAAAGAGTGTCATAACGCGTACAGATTACGAGTTTTTATATTTATAAATTAACAAATAATATTTTGATGAGAACTTTAGTAAATACGCGTATTTTGTAACTTGACCGAAAAAAAACTACAAAAAAATAGTAAAAATGTCTAAAAATCTTCGACCCCTTTTATCATTAATTAAACGAAAATCCTGGTATATCAGCATAATTGAACGGAAAAAAAAAATTAAAAAACAAACAAATTTCAAAAAAATCTATTAATTTCGTCTCTATCAAGATTCAATAAACACAAGACCTCTGATATATGAACAACATTACAGATTATACGGAAAAAATAAATAAAAAAAAATCGAAAAATTTTCACAAAATGTCAAAAAATGAACCAACTCAAAATCAATATTAATAACCAAAAAACTGTGACATACTAACAAAATCGTCAAGAAAAAATTAATATTAACATAAATTTTTGAACGCAAGAGTGGTAGAGCCCGCTTTAACATCTTCACACTAATTGTCCTCACCCGGTGAAATACCACGACCATACAGAAGACAGGCTTCAAGTGGAAGCAATTCCAACTACAGTCTGATGAGTGTGCGTCCCAGAGACTCGATTAAGTCCTCTTTCCCTTCCCACCCTTTTTCTTATAAGGATGGGAAGTGAAAGTGGACTTTCCGGATGAGAGGATGCATGGAAAGGGAAAATATTTTCTTTCTGTACATACTCTCCTCCGTGGATCAAAGGTAGGCAATGCATATGCAATTGCGTATGTCTATGGGCAACGGTCTCTTCGCTATTTCAGCGATTTCAGATGGCTCGCTCGTTTGCCATTTTATAATATAAAATAAATATATAAAAAAACAACTCACTTCAACACCTTTAACATGAATATAGCAAGAAAACTCCGGTATATCTGTATACTTGTCAGGTAGAACTCTGCATTGTGACGTCATACTGACAATAGAACTGCTGTCTATCAATGCGGCTAGATTATTACTCAGACATCTAGCTCTGTACCAGGCACCATCTTCATTATTATAATATGAGAATAAATCGCCTGGGCTAGGACTGGAAAGAAAAAAAAACAAATTATAATTAAACAAAAAAATAAATTTAAAAGCAAAAGCTATCTTACTAATATTATAAAGGCCTATATTTGGATGGATGGATAAAAGTATGACCAAAGCAGCTAAATGGATCTCGCTGATATTTGGCATAGATGTAGAGCACAGTCTGGGAGAACACATAGGCTACATTTTTTTTAATTCCATGCAAACGGAGTCGCGGGCGACAGCTAGTAATATTATAAATGCGAATGTTTAGATGTATGTTAGAAGATATCTCCAGAACAACTCAACAGATCTTGATGAAATTTGACATACATATAGAACATAGTCTGGAAGAACACATAGACTACTTATTAAGTCTTTTTTTAATTCTGTACGGCCAGAGTCTTTTCTTATATAGGATGGGAAGTGGATTTGACAGAGGGGGGACGCATATATAGGGGAAATAATCTCTTTCTCCTCCGTCGATTAAAGATAACGCATCTGTAAATAATGTCTAGGCAACGGTCACTTCGCTATTTCGGCTAATTGAAGGAGCCTTGCTCTTTTGTCACTTTACAATATAAAAAAGGCTATATAGTAAGTTTAGTAAAAAAGGCTGTATAGTAGTTTAGGCTATATAGTAAGTTTTTATTTAATTCCACGCGGACAGAGTCGCAGGAAACAGCAAGTTGACATTTATACTTACGTAAATTTCCCTTCTTTTTCACAATCCGCGGCATATTCATCACAAAGACTCATATAATCTCCTTCATATTTCTCATGTAATGACACACCAATGTACCCGGGCCCATTGATTCTGCATTCCGATGCCACCTTGTCTATTGACACCATCACTATGTCACCAATAGACATCGTCTCCACTAAGCATCTGTAAAAGTAATATTTTCTTGCTTTAATGCCATTTTTTTATATCATAAGATGGCAGACGAGCGAACAGTCACCTGAAATCGCTGAAATAGCTGTAACCGTTGCCCATAGACATACGCAATTGCATATGCGTTGCCTAACTTTAATCGACGGAGGAGAGGATGCACAGAAAGAAAATATTTTCCCTTTCCATGCATCCTCTCATCAGGAAAGTCCACTTCCACTTCCCATCCTTTCCTTATAAGAAAACGGGTGAGAAGGGAAAGATGACTAAATTAGATCTCCGGGACGCACACTCATCAGACTGTAGTTGGAATTGCTTCCACTTGACGCCTGTCTTCTGTGTGCTCGTGGTATTTCACCGGACGAGCCGGAACAATTTGTGCGAACATGTTAAAGCTCGCTCTACCATTGTCAAGTATTCTATTTTTTTAAGATAATCACTTACGTTTTAGGTACATATTTCTTTGTTGGTGTTACATCTTCTACTGATAATGGTTTGATAACTTTCTTATCATCTGTTGACTTATCAGGTATTGTTTTTATTGATTTCATTGCTAGTTTAATATTACTAGGCCCCGCTGCTTCTGGAAAAAACAGAGTAACCATTAAATCCTTTCGTTCTCGTGTAACGTTTGAATGTAAGAACATAGGTTCATAAATTGAGAAAAAATACAAAAAGACTGAAATATCAATAGCTTTGGATTATTGCTATTTGGCTGAAGAGCTTCGACCAACATCTCAAGAAGCTCTCACTAAACAGTTGGATTAAGGACCCGATACAAAAATCAGTTATCCTAGAAACCGCACGCATCTTTAGAAGGTTCCTGTCTTCAGCCCTGACCACTGATTGTTTAAGTCATGGGACTCCGCAGCTGGTGGTTTTCTATTTTTAATATATGTTTTGTATTTTTTTTTATATATTAAAAATATAATATATAAATGAATACGTTAGTAATTGTGAATGATTGGATATATGTATGATAGAAGATATCTCCAGAACTCAACAGATCTTAATGAAATTTGTCATACATATAGAACATAGTCTGGAAGAACACATAGACTACTTAAGTTTTTTTTAAGTCCGCGCGGAAGGAGTCTCAGGCGTTAGCTAATTACTCCTAAGGACATAAGTTAAGGAATAAAGAAACCAAATCGAACCAATCTTTTGAATCTTATTAAATGCAAATAATCAAATCTTTCCTCTTTATAATCTTACTAATATTATAAATGTGAATGTTTAGATGTATGTTAGAAGATATCTCCGGAACAACTCAACAGATCTTGATGAAATTTGTCATACATATAGAACATAGTCTGGAAGAATACATACACTACTAGTTTTTTATTTATTTATTTATTTATAAAAAGACACATACGTGTATTTGTCCAATCTTCTTCCATTACATTTTGTATCTGCGGTCGTCGTAACGGAGGTATGTTACCTTTATTCTCAATTCTATCTGGAGTTTGTGTGTTTTCAGTTTTATTGTTTTTATTTTGAATTGTTTTGTTCTGTCTATTGCCAGGTCTATCTTGTGTTCTATTGTTTTGACCATTTTGATAACTATAATTCGTGTTTAAACGATGGGATCTCTGAAATATAAAGTTTTATTAGTTCAAAATAAACTTAACCGTGAGACAATTCACTGCAGTGACTCAGTGGTTAATCAGTTGACTTGCAATCAGCATGTCCTGTGTTGTAATCCCGTCATGTAGCAATGTGTTACATTTATCCTATGTTGTTATGGTGAAGGAAAACATCGTGATGCTGCACATATCTGACAAACTCAAACATATGTGTCAAGTCTTGCACTGGACCAGCATTCACTATCACATACTCTCACTTAGGGAAGGTGCAGAGACCCGAGACTGGGGTTACAGTAAGCTGACGATGACATTTTTAATACAGCACATCTTACTAATATTATAAATGCGAATGTTTTGATGTTTGTTAGAAGATATCTCCAGAACTGCTTAACGGATTTTGATGAAATTTGGTATCCAATGGGACATAGTCTGGAAGAACACAGACTTATTAAGTTTTTTTAATTCTGCAGTCACAGGCGACTGCCAGTAACAAATAAAGTAATAATTACCACTTGTGATCCAACACCATCATCTTCAGTATTCTGGAATCTTCTTATATTCTTCATCGGGGAATGAGGTCGACGTAATGGTGCGGTGGGTTGCAATCTAGAAACACAATGTTATATGTTTTAAAAGTGATAGAAACAAGCAAACATGTGTAGCACTGTGTGCCTCGTCTGCTGCAACATGACCTCACAGAACACAAGCCTCAACTGCAGTCTGTACCTCGTCCGGTGGAATACGACCTCACATACACAACTGTAGTGTGATGAGTACCAGAGGACTCATTTCACACCTCTTTCCCTTTCAAGAATAAGATGGGAAGGGGATTTATTCTTTCATGTCCCTCCTCCGTCGATTAAAGACGCATCTGCAATTGCGTATGTCTATGACCGCTCGTTTATAATATAAAAGAAAAATATTAAAAAAAAAGTTTGCTGACAATGTCACTTCTCCACTCTTAGCGTGTGACGATGATGACATGGTGATCATGAATCAAGTTATGAAAACTTAAGAAAGAAGTTACGTTAAGTAAGTCACGTTAAGAAGTTCCATAAGAAGTAAAAAGTTGACATGATGACATAAACAAAGTAAACTTCAAAGTTTTTACAAAGTTAGAGGCTAACAGATGAAGTTATTGTATGAAAGAGGTTATACTAGAGAATTGTGACTTCTTAAAGATGTATGGAAGAATATTATACATACTGTATTAAACTGATATATAAACACGGCTAAACACTCACGTATATACGTCCGGTGGCGGCACCGACTTGTTTCGAGTCCATCGGGGGCCCTTCATCAGGATGAGTGGTACTGGTATTATTTCGCGGACGCGGTCCTCAGCTTACTGCGCGCCTGCGCTCAAAGCGTCGGTGGTGTTGTTGTTGAAGGTGCCGCCACCGGACGTATATACGTAAGTGTTTAGCCGTGTTTATATATCAGTTTAGTATAATGTCTCACGAAAGTTTGAATTACATACTGTATATTACGTAAGGAAAACTACAGGATGATTGCTTTCTATATACTTACGTTGGTAAATTGGTGGGTGCAGTTGACACGGGATTTGGTGCATTTCCTACAGCCAACCTATAAAAATAATACAATCTTAATAATATTATAAATGCGAATGTTTAGATGTATGTTAGAAGATATCTCCAGAACAACTCAACGGATCTTGATGAAATTTGTCATACATATAGAACATAGTCTGGAAGAACACAGACAATTTTTTTTACACAGACAATCTCGAGCTACATCATAAACTAGATGCATCATCAGCTCACTATACGTCCCCACCGAGGGGCTCGGAGCCTACCCTAAGTTAAGGGTACTACTAGATAAATACAAAATGTTTAAGTGTATCGGTTCATAGGAATCGTTGTCACTAACCTTGCGAGATTGTGACATACAGCGTGATGCCTCGCACTCCAGTCACGCTGTTGACACGCGAGACTACAGTACGGCGTGACAGCACACCTCGAGCAGTACGCGTCCGCGTGCATGCCACAAGACACGCAAGCGCGTGACGCGTCACGCTGCAGCCCAGGAAGTTTTAGCTGCATTGAATTGTCGACCTTATGTTTAACGTTTTTAAAGTTAACTCTGTATTGTATAGAGTTAACACTTTTAAACAGTGGTAGAGCCTGCTTAAACATCTTCGCAGGAATTGTCCCGGCAAGTCCGGTGAAATACTACGACCACACAGAAGACACGCCTCAAGTGCGAAGCTATTCCAACTACAGTCTGATGAGTGTGCGTAGTCCTCTTTCCCTTCCCACCATTTTTCTTATAAGGAATAAATGGGAAGTGAAAGTTGACTTTCCGGATGAGAGGATGCATGGAAAGGGAAAATATTTTCTTTCTGTGCATACTCGCCTCCGTCGATTAAAGTTAGGCAACGCATATACAATTGCGTATGTCTATGGGCAACGGTCACTTCGCTATTTCAGCGATTTCATGTGGCCCCTCGCTTCCACCTTCTGTTATTATATAAAAAACCTACAAAGTTAACCTTTACTACGATACTAAAGCTACTTATAATAGTTCTAATGATTTTCTCAATTGAATATTTTATGGTTTCATGAAAAATGTCTACATTTGTGAAATGGGCAGCAGTTATTACAAACATATCTATAATAGTGAGTTTCTGAAAACAAAATCCTAGTTTAAAATACGTTATGTTATATTTTTGTGCTATATAATGATAGGAATGAATGTTTTTATACATAAATTTTGTATCTTAGTAACCGACGTTTAATAATATAAACTTACTTACCTTAAAAAAACTGTTTTATACATTTGATTTACTAAAATTACTGTAAATGTATGGATGTTAGAACATATCTCCAGAACTGTATAGATCTCGATGAAATTTGTCATAAATGTGTAGTCTACTAAATACGTTTTTTTAGACCCAGTGCTATGTAAAATGTAAAGCAAACTAAAATCCATTGCTGGCTTTGCGTTTAACCCATTAGTGCATAACGTTGGATAAATCGGACGCCATTAAAATTGTTATTTTAGGAGTTATACAGGCAAAAGGTTACGTACATAGGAAGGGGGATGATAGGGGTCGTCACAAGGGTCACCAGAAAAATTAAATAAAAATTTCCCTCTGGGTATTAAAAAAATAAATGGCAGTTTTTAAAAACTTAAAAATTTTACACCTGCTGGGGCAATTTTAATTTTTTTTTTAAATCTTTGTTAGTTGTATTGTTTTTTTTTATTTCATATTGATAAAGGGTTATTGACGATAACATAACAGGTTTTTTTTTTAAATATAGCAATATTTGTAGGTCATCGGTTACAAAATTGCCCCAGATAGTGTAAAATTTTTAAGTTTTTAAAAAATGCCCTTTATTTTTTTTAATACCCAGAGGGGAATTTTTATTTAATTTTTCTGGTGACCCTTGTGACCACCCCTATCATCCCCCTTCCTATGTACGTAACCTTTTGGGACACCCTGTATATATTTTACTAACCGTTTATATTTTTAAACAGTAGTGTAATATATATTTGAAGTGGTAATACTGTTGGTATGACATTCCGGGAAGCATAACGTCCGATTTATCAGACGGGCTATAAAATCTAAACTTTCATATCGACAAAATATTTTATACAATTTAATGGTCAAATACACTAGAAATGAAAATATATTACAGTGGTCATAATGAAAAAGGCGTTAATAAATGCACTAATGGGTTAATGGACCTTTATAAAACAACTAAGCAACTATTTGCCCTAAATGGTCCTTCGAGTCGGATTATATAGAAAAAAAATCAAATAATTTATCAAAAACTTTATTGAAAAATGTCACAAACATACAATCAAATTAAAAATCACTAAAACAACAAGTCAAATTAATTAAAAGAAACTAAAATTAAAAAAAAAACAACTAAATATAACACAACACACACAAAACACACTTATATTAAAACTTATGTATATACCTAAAATACATTAGTGCTGGCAACATTGAGAAATTACAACCACACATTAAAAAAAATCCATTTCAAATGCTTCACAAAAATTCATCAAAACCATAGACACATTACTTATAAATGGAATGTATCATATTTGACGTCTAATCGAGAGTCGACATCTCAAATGTCATTTTGTCATCAAAATGTTTACGAAGTCCTTTTCATGTCTTTTTGTACTACATATAATCTATATTAAAAAAAACATTCTACAAGTCTTTTCAAATGGAATATTACGTCCCAATAAAAAAACCTTAACATAATTTTAAGGTACTTTATATAGGCTAGATTTAAAATTAATTTTTAAAAATATCACATTTCATTGGCGGGAAATTTCAGATCTAGAATCACATTTAAACCCAATAGGATTAATTTCTATTACTAAATCCACACTAAGGGATAACCTTGTTCATTAGATGGCTTCATATTTGAATAACGTGTTATACTCTAGAGGTCTTGTTTATGGCACGTATATCAACGTATACGACAAAGGTGGGTAAGACGATATAAGACACTTCATAATTATGTGGGTACAATTATATTTTTAAACTACCTTCATTTGTAGTTTTCTATCGAGACATTATATATCTAAGGTATTGAATACACAAATATAGTGTGTAAATAACCTTATTAATAAGTGTCAAAATAGAGTTATAAAAATAGTTAACTTTTAAGTTTGGAATGTGTTTTACTAAAGTAATAAAAACTTGTCATTTAATCTAGAATGTCATATATGACAATGCAGTCAATTCTTGTTGGAAAGATTATTGTATCTTATATCTTTAAATGAGCAATTCTTGTATATATATAATTGGAATCTCGGAATCGGCTCCAAAGATTTTCATAAAATTTAGTATATAGAGGGTTTGAGGGGCGATAAATCGATCTAGCTAGGAATCATTTTTAGAAAATGTCATATTATTCGTGTTTCAACTTAAACATAAACTTAACTTTTTCTATCGGTAAGATCGAAAAATATTATTCATATTTTATCATTTTATTAGTAATTCGTACTTAAATATAATTTCCAAAAAACACAATTTAAAGAAAAAAATACCGAGCAAAGCTCCGTCATCCAGGTATTTAATGTCAAACTAACAACAAAATATAAAATCAATTGAACCTCAATAATACGATAATAAAACCTACATCAACTTTATACCTAAAAGTCCATTTTTGTGATATTTATCATACATATTGTAAAGATTTTAAATACTAGAGCGGACATTACGAGGAATTTTTATCTTATATTTATATCATAAACGTAAATAGGCGCAATTTGTGGGTAGTCACAAAATAGGTAAAGCCTACATAGGCAAAAATGCGTTCCACTTGAGATCCAGGAGCCTAGTGGTACTTGAAGATGGCCACTGAGGGGATTTTAGTGGATAAAAACCCTATATAACCTTACTACCCCTCAGGAGGGTGTTCTTATTAATATCGCCCCAACAGATACCAAAGAATAACTATAGCACGATAAGAATCTTGTAACAGAGAGCCATCAAAATTTATTTAGACTTATACCCACCCATATAACTTTATGGGTATATAAAATTACTGAAATCTGTCTCAATTGTTAAAATTGACAACCAAAACTGTATGTGACAGTTTGGTTTGATAACGTCCTGTCTAATTCTTTGACCAAAGACTACATGTAAAAGACCATAAAATCTAGAAAACAAATTTTAAAGTCTCACCACCTAAAGTAGGATCGAACGATTGACTTTTTATCACAGACGCCGACTGTTTGTCAACCAAAACTGTAAACTTTCCTCGACCAGGATAATTTGTGTCGTATTGAATCTGCCACAATTCCGTATTTAATCCTGGATTTTTATCTTCCAATAAATCTAATATAATATTAAAATCTTCTTTGTCATCAGGTAATATTTTCGACGGCACTTTCAAAGTCAATTTACAAAAACTTGCATTTTTATCAACCGTATAAGAATCAGTATCTATTTTATTTGTCGATTTATCATCAATTTTATCAGATTTTTCTCGCTTCGAATCTATATCGACATCTTTAGTGATATTATTAAATTTTTCGATATATTCCAGACTAGTTTTGGGTTTAATTAATGATTGCAAATGTCCTAATTTAAATACAACAGGACTGGAACCTACAAATTTATTAAAATTCACATCAGAAATGACTTGCGCTGATAATTTATCAATCTGCAGTACCACGTCTAATTTATTTTTAGATTTCACTATACTTATTTTCCTCCAAAATTTTGTACGCAATCTGGGATTTTGTTTTTGCAATACAGATATAACATCATCTGTGTCTTTATCTGTTTTTATAACCATCATACTAACAATACCTACGGCACCGCGAAATTCAGTTGATTTCAAATCAAGATTTATTCTACAATTTATTAATTTAATATTATCTTCAATCCATTGTTTAGTTTTAAAATCTTTACATATTATAAATATAACACCATCAAATAAATATATATCGTGCACTTTAGGTATAAAACCATCTACTTCATCTCTAACAGACTCCAAAACTACGTTGTTCATTGTATTTTTAATTGTATAAAACAATCCTTCATCTATACGAGTTTCAGGATAATTTAAAGGACCTATATATAATTTTAAATCGTCAGCAACAACATCTGAATAATGATTTGTCCTTATTTTTGTTAATGTCGAGTTTAATTTATCAATATCTATTGGACGGTACATTTCTTTGGATATTTTTTCCCAAATACCCTCCATTTTTATATCAGCCGTATTTGATTTCGTATCAACTTCATTCATACTAATATCCTTTCTCTTTCTATCAATAATTCTAAAGGAAATCACTTCATTGTCATATGTAAAATTAAAATCTGGATTCTTTATAACATTTATAGATTCAGGATCAACACCGAATTGCCTTTTCTGTTTACCAGCAACATCTGAATAATATTTCCAACAATCCGGTTTCAATAGTGGATATTTTTCAATCAACTTTGATATTATATCTTTAGATTCCAAATGGGCTAATTCCTTTGGCAATCTCATTACTACCCTTGTATAGCGTACTAGATCGTTAATATCTTTAAAGATCAATTTTAAACTTGTCGAATTAATAAATTTAGGTAAAATTTCAGTTAAATAATCTTTCGTTTCTAAACTATCACATATATATATAACAGCACCATTCGATAAGAAGACATCTTGAAATTTAGGTATAATCAAGTTTGCAAATCTTCTATTTTTAATATCTTTATTAAGATATTCTTTGAACAGACGTTTTAATCTTCTTATATGTGTACCTTCTAATTTATTCTGTGGATAACCGTCCAATGTTATAGCAACTTTTAATTCTGCATCTACATGTAAATAATTTGTACGTCTATGGTACGCTATACCTCTATTACTGTCGATGGTAATTGTACTATTCCTTTCTATTAAATTATCATTACTCGCAGTTATAGAATCACCTTTATCTGTGAAATCAGCTAAAGAATCGATCTCTTCTCGTACGTTTATTTGTGTTTTTTCAATTTCAGAATTACTAACCGTATCATTTGTATTCACAGACCAAACTATAGTTTCATTTCTATCGTTTACATATTCGACATCTTTTAATTTCTTCAATATATCTTTTTGTACGGAATTAATTAAATCTTTTTTTATATCTTTACCGTTAACTTTATCATTCCAATCTTTTATATCAATTGATACGTTAACTGTATCAGATTTTATTTCATCCAACAGTTTAACCCTAGATGCTATACTGCTTAAATCATCTCTTAAATCGTTCATAAAATTTTCATAATAAATTTCAGTATAACCAGTTAATTCGAATTGCATATTTTTATAATCTATCACATTTTTAAATGTCGGACCACGTATTATTTCCCCTGAGACTCTATCAATCAAAAAAGATGTACATTCAACTGAATCTACAATCTTTTGTGCGTATATTTTCCATACATCCGTCTTTAAAGTCGGATTAAAATACTGTAACAATTTGAATACATCAACAGCAGTCGCCGGCCACGAAGCTTTTGGTATTTTTAATAATCCCAAACATATCCTTTTAATTTTTGAACCTAATAATATTAATTTCTCATCCATTCTCTCTTCCAAACCTACAACGATACGTAAAATCCAATCTCTTGTATCTACATCACGACAAATACATACAATAGCGCCTCTATTTAAATAATAATCGTGAAATGTTGGTACTTTTTTCAATAAGCTACTTTTCAATTGCATATCTATTATCGATGTTAATGCCGTTTGAAATTTTTCCATTTCTTTCAATGTCATTTTAGATTTTGGATATTTACACAATACTATAACAACTTTTAATTCCTCATCTACAACATCTAAATAATCAGTACTACGCAATTGTATCAATCTATTTGTTGCATCATGTTCTTGGCTATCACTTGTGAAATCGCTAAATTTAAATTCATATAAAGTTCCGCTATCGCTGTCTTTTTCATTTGTATAATCCGTTTTACTAGATTCATCTTTCATATGTCTTATATCGATTATCTTTGATTTAGATGTTTTAGAATCTGTTACTTTACTATCAGATTTATCTTCATCCAATTGTATACAAGTTGATGTAGAACTATCTTCCGAACTCGTCCTTATCCAAGATTGTACACGGCAACGTTTCGTTTTCTGTAGACAAGTGATATCTCTATTTTTTTATATCATAAGATGGGAAACGAGCGAGCGGTCACCTGAAATCGCTGAAATAGCGAAGTGACCGTTGCCCATAGACATACGCAATTGCATATGCGTTGCCCACCATTAATTGACGGAGGAGAGGATGCACAGAAAGAAAATATCTTCCCTTTCCATGCATGCTCTCATCCAGAAACTCCACTTCCACTTCCCATCCTCTCCATTATAAGAAAAAGGGTGGGAAGAGAAAAAGGACTAAATTAGGCCTCCGGGACGCACACTCATCAGACTGTAGTTGGAATTGCTTCCACTTGACGCCTGTCTTCTGTATGGTCATGGTAATTCACCGGGCGAGCCGGGACAATTCGTGCGAAGATGTTAAAGCAGGCTCTACCACTGTTAAGGTCTCGTATCAGAAGATATCACATCTAATTGTTGTACATTTTAAGGGTTCCGTACCTCAAAAGGAATAAAGGAACCATTATAGGATCACTTTCTTGTCCCTTTTTATCATACTAGCTGTCGCCCGCGACTTGATCCGCGCGGAATTAAAACAAAACATAATAAAGCTATGTGCTCTTCTAGACTATGTTCTACATCTATGACAAATTTCAGCGAAATCCATGCAATCTGAAAATACCTTCTAAGAAACATCCATCCAAATATTCGCATTACATAACTAGCTCTCCCCCACGACTTCGTCCGCCCGGGATTAAAAAATAACTTAATTGTTAGCCTATGTGTTCCAGACTATGTTCTACATCTATGACAAATTTAATTTAGATTTATACAGCTGTTCTGGAGATGCCTTCAAACAAACATCCATCTAAACATTCGCATTTATAATATTAATAGTAAGATATAGCGAATCGACCGCTACCCAAAGACATCATCAATTGCAGATCTGTAACCATCGACGGAGGAGAGGATGCACAGAAAGATAATATTTAATCTTTCTATGCACCCCCTCCTCCATCAAATTCACTTTCCTTTCAAATCTTTTACTTATAAGAAAGGGTTTGGAAGAGTAGGACTAATTTACGTAATCGATTTTCATATTCAACACGGACGGAGTCGCAGGGAAAAGCTGATACCTTACGTATTTAATAGCTTTTTCTTTTATATTCAAAGGACGATGTTCGTTTCTTTTTATGTCAAATTAATTTACAAATTTACCTAATGTACTCTTCAAGACAAAATTCATAAGACATAAGTGTCCAAAAAACACAATAAAAAAAACTGCTGCCCATTTCTTTAAAATTTCGTTTCAAATCAAACCCAAAATAAAGTAAGCAATCTTTAAAACCATTAAGGCCAACATTTGACAAACATTTTGATCTCGGAAATCAACTATTAATTACTTTATAAAAATTGCTACTTACTTATCTTACTAATATTATAAATGTGAATGTTTAGATTTATGTTAGAAGATATCTCCAGAACAACTCAACGGATCTTGATGAAATTTGACATACATATAGAACATAGTCTGTAAGAACACATAGAATTAAGAATTCTTAAGTCCAAGCGGAATCATAGACAAAAGCTACTGCTTTACCATACTACCTTCTACATCTAGTTCTGTTGATACCTTCTTACATACATCTAAACATTCGCATTTATAATATTAGTAAGACATCAGCAAAATTACCTACATTTTTTTTAATAAGTTTGGATTGTAACGTATTATATTTATTTAAAAAAAAAAACAAAGGTTATAATATTAAATTATTCAAACTTTTGTGAGACATTATACTAAACTGATATATAAACACGGTTAAATAATCACGAGTGAGCTGAGGACCTTGTCCGCGAAATAATACCAGTACCACTCATCCTGATGAAGGACCCCCGATGGCCTTGAAACTAGTCGGTGCCACCAGACGAATATACGTCAGTGTTTAGCCGTTTTTATATCAGTTAAGGTTATAATTTTTCATATTTAAATAAGAAAATGACTTACCGCATCACCACTGCCAACACCAAAACTCTCCGAATCAGTCACATCATTGGGTCTGTAAATTAAAAAAAAAACAAAGAAAATTTTACAAACAATATAATCGAGTATGTACCTCCCCTAAGTGAGAGTATGTGATAGTGAATGCCGGTCCAATGCAAGACTTGACACATATGTTTGAGTTTGTCAGATATGTGCAGCATCACGATGTTTTCCTTCACCGTAACAACATAGGATAAATGTACATATGTAAATGTAACACATTCATACATCACGGGATTACAACACGGGACATGCTGATTGCAAGTCAACTGCTTAACCACTGAGACACAGACGCTTTTAAAAACAAAATGGCGATCAAAAGTTTCCTATCATATTAAAATCTGGATAAGCAAGAGACTAAGAGATATTTTTCTTGATTATAGAGATTTCTCTCTAACTAAAGTTTCTCACTTATGTAGGTTTCTTCTCTTTTTTTTTTAAATAATAGCAGATTTTTTTTAGTAAATTTACTAATATTTCTTTAACCATTCCAACTAAGCTCTATGCTTGTGCTAGGATATGGTTTACGACAATACTCGAATGTCGGGATTCGAACCCCCGACCTCGTGATCGTAAATTAGTTTAGTTTACATTATTATATCAATAGATGGCGGAACATATTACTAGATCGCGATATAGATTTATTTTGTATGTTTATCGACTTGCCGATCGCATTTAAATAAAGTTGACTCGCACCAAGATATAACCAGTGTTTCATTGTGACTACTCGATACTTCTCCAGTGAGAGGGAGACCTTTTTTGAGACTGTTTTACACGTATCCTTAACCATTAGGTTATTGACGCTTCTTGTTTAACTAAATACTTAAAATACACACTTTTTCAAGGAAAACAATTAATGTTTTTTCGAAATTAAGTTTTTTTTTATATATACGATAAAATTTATCTTCATAGAAAAAAAAAAACCTCTAAAATATAATTTTTCACATACCTATAATATCCATAACGAAATCTTGTAATAGAAAAAACAAATTTTCTATAACTAGAGTTATTAAGTTCGTAATATAACATATATTATTAGAAAAAAAATTACGTTAAAATACTTAAGTAACAATTAAATATCTCTGAGTGAGGCAGACAATAAATTTAATGTTAATTTTACTTCTTACAAATATTATAAAAGCGAATGTTTAGATCTATGTAAGAAGATATCTCCGGAACAACTCAACAGATCTTGATGAAATTTGTCATACATATAGAACATAGTCTGGAAGAACACATAGACTACTTATTTATTTCTAATTCAGCACGGAAAGAGTCACAGGAGACAGCTAGTTATATATATTTACCTGTCATTGTTAGTTCTCACAACAATCCTTCCATCGGGAAGAATACTCCTATCTTTGGAACTTAACGGAACCTGAAATTAAAAAAGAAACCTAATAATAACCTAAAAACTAAAAAACCCGACTGACAGAACACTCTTTGGAAGAATACGAATCAAATAACACCTCATTTGTCAAAATCTGTTCATTAATTTAAGATACAGGATGTTACAAACTGTTAGAAAGAAAATCCGACACTATGCCGGTGTATCGCAACACTAGCCTTATTAAAATATCAAAGTTTATGTCCCCTCAATACATCTGACACAAGACTTTGTAAAGCGCCATTCACGCCAGATTCTAACTAATCGATCTATATATATAAAAGAAACTGGTGTTACACTATTTATAACTCAAGAACGGCTTTACCGATATGCCTGAAAATTGTTGAGAAGGTAGCTTAGAGCCAGGAGACGGACATAGGATACTGTTTATTCATTTTTTATTCGAATGTATGCCTTGAAGAGCTGCTTTTTATTTAACTTACTAATATTATAAATGCGAATGTTTAGATGGATATGATGTGGATGGATGGATGGGTGTTGGAAGATATCTCTAGAATGGCTGAACGGATCTGGATTAAATTTGGCATATGTATAGAACATAGCCTCAAAGAACACATAGACTACACTAATTAAATTTTTTATATATCCACAAGGACGAAGTGTTTTAAAATCGAAATAAAAGCTGTCATTACCAAGGAACATCCTGTATAGTGGATATCAATATAAGACAGATTTTATTTTAGTACTCACCGACTTTCTTCCTGCTCTGTTAAGAATCATCATCCTCTTGCACTCCAGCTTCTCCTCTTGCAGTTTGATGCGCTCCATCTTCAGCTGGACCAGTTCCAAATGAAGGTCAGGGTCAGAGCTGTTCACCAAACCCTGGAATAAGAGATTGATTACTTTAGAAAAAAAAACAATTGAAATTGTACATTCAAAAATACAATTATTATGTTTTACATTAGATTGGCTATTTATATCTTACTAATATTATAAATGCGAATGTTTAGATGTATGTTTGTTTGAAGGTATCTCCAGAATGAGTGCTTGGATTTCGCTGAAATTTGTCATACATATAGAACATTGTCTGGAAGAACACATAGGCTACTTATTAAGTTTTTTTTCTAATTGTGCATAGACAGAGTTGTGGGCGATGGCTAATGTACAGACATTCTAGAAATCTGTTATATTGCATAATATTACAGAGTTAGTTATCTACCAAAGTAATCAACATTGACTTAATTAATCAATATAAAAACATCATTTTTTTTTAAATCATAAAGTGGCAAACGAGCGAGCGGTCACCTGAAATCGCTGAAGTTGCGAAGTGACCATTGCCCATAGACATACGCAATTGCATGTGCGTTGCCTAACTTTAATCGACAGAGGAGAGGATGCACAGAAAGAAAATATTTTCCCTTCCCGTGTATCCTCTCATCCGGAAAGTCCACTTCCGCTTCCCATCCTTTCCTTATAAGAAAAGGGTGGGAAGGGAAAAAGGACTAAATTAGGCCTTTGGCTTGGATAATCAAGACACCACAGGACAGCCAACATTTTTCTTCCCTAAATTTCTCACTTATGGAGGAACCGGGCAATAATTACCTCTTAATCAGTTAGAACTGTATTAAACTCACCAATTCATCTTCCGCCATCAATTCATCCATATCTCCCTCACTATTTATAGATAGTTGAGTGTCATCCATTTTACTGTAAATAAAATAATAAAAAACAGTTATTAGGTAGTTAGAGATGTATGAAAGAGATCTCTAGGGGCTCGAGCATTTATGTCAAGCTTCCATTAGCACGACATATCTATGTTCTTGGTTATACACATTAAGCTGTAAAAAACCTCCGCGTCATTTAAAAAAAGATTAAAACCATGGTTTATCCTTTATTTAGTTATGTAGAATTGTGTGACTAAAAAAAAGTTTTTTTAATGTCAACTCAATCAAATATCGTAATGTTTTAGAAACGGTAATTTTTTAAATATGTTATTCTGTTGCAAAAATCAATATAAACGTAACATAAACATTACATTTATATCTAAATAGCTTTTATCTATTTATTTTCAAATACCGTTTCTTTTAACATAATACGACTTTCAATAGCGATTTTATTTAGTAATTAACGAATAAACACGTAATTAATAAGTTAGGTATCTTTTTAAGTCGTTTTTTTATGCCTAATGCAAAGAAACGATCTTTCCAAACAAGAATAATGTACCCGAAACTTACGTTATTTTCGTCAAAGAACATATATTTATTTAAACATATCACCATTTAAATATAACACAGCTTAGATTAATTACGTATTAAAAAACGCAATTAATCGTTAAAGTACAATTGGGCTACAAATTCAATAAAACGTTTATTTGTGATCCGGTAGAAATAATTTGAAAATGACAATTATGCACAGCCAAAGAGCAAACACTGTCAAAGATTTTCGAGCCGGTGAGAGGCGCTACTGTCGCGGTTAGTTGTGTCAGAATATATATAAAACCTTTATGGGCATAGAAAATCATCAACCTGCCCTTATCCCTATTGAGGGTCGACACAGCATGTACTCCTCCATACATCTCTATCAGCCGTCATATCCGAATCTACCCTTCCTACGCATATCCTCTTTCACACAGTCATTCCGTACTTTTTTTATCTTCCTCTACCTTTGTAGCCATCCACATTCAATCTCATTACTTTATTGCTTATATCATCATCCCTCCGCATAACATGTCCAAACCACGCTAATCTTTTACTCCTCAATTTCTCGATCACTGGCGCTACTTTCAAACTTCTAATATACACATTTTTGTCAAAATAAAATTTCATGGGCATAGAAAATGTTGTGAAACTGCGTGTTTACTTACGTAACAAAGAATAATTTCAATAACAGGCTAAGAAAATCTATATATAAAGGAAAGTGGTGTTAGTTACACTATTTATAACTCAATAATGGCTTTACCAATATGCCTGAAAATTGGTGAGAAGGTAGCTTACAGCCAGGAGACTGACATGGGATACTATTTATTATGCCTTGAAGAGCTGCTTTTTATTTACCTTACTAATATTATAAGTGCGAAAGTTAAATGGTTGTGATGTGGATGGATGTATGTTTGAAGATATCTCTAGAACGACTGAACGGATCTCGATTAAATTTGGCATACATATAGAACATAATCTGAAAGAATACATAGGCTACACTAATTAAGTTTTTTATATATCCACGCGGACGAAGTCGCGGGCGATTGCTAGTGTCTTATATTATTTTTACTAGTAAGTAGTAGAAATTGAACAACTTTAAGTAAAATTGTGTATCTTTAATTCTCTTTAACTAACATATTTTGTAAAAGAGCATCGATGGCTCAGGGGTCAAGCACTTGACTTGTAATCTGCAGGTCCTGGGTTCGAATCCCGCCATGTACCAATGTGTTTTTCGATTTCCGATTACCATATGTACATTTATTCGACGTTCTTACGGTGGGGACGTATGGTGAGCTGATGATGAACATATTTTGTATGTTTCGTGACATAAGCTGACTGTTAGGCAAAACTTACCGACTATTCCGTCCCCTGCTGCAAACACTAGATGTCTCATCTCTGGACATCTGTGACATATGATTGCTACCATGGTCTCTCGTTTCGTTCGTACTAGTCTTGTTTTTCTAAAAGAAATTAATTATTTACAAATTTCAATATACAAAGAATTACTAATAATTTTAACCATTAGGTTAAGAAAGGCAAAAATATATCAACTACTAGCTGTCGCCCGCGATTCAGTAAGCGCAGAATTTAAAAAAAAAACTTAGTGAGTAGCATATATGTTCCTCCAGACTATAGTCAACATGTATGCCAAATTTCATCAAGATCCATTCAGCCGTTCCGGAGATATCTTCAAACATTCATCCATCCATCCATCGAAACATTCGCATTTATAATATTAGTAAGATACAACTGTTTGGATGTTTATTGGAAGGTATCTTCAGAACGGCTGCATGGATCTCACTGAAATTTGTCATATATGTAGAACATAGACTGGAAGAACTCATAGGCTATTAATTAGTTTTTTTTTAAATTCTTCACAAACAGAGTCGCATGCAACAGCTAGTATAATATATATTAGTGTATGTTTACCTTATGTGCTATGTGTACAACAAGTTTGAGTGGTTCAGCTCTATTCAGTTTCATCATTGCAAGCTTCGCTTCCCTAAAACAAAAGAATATATATAAAAAACTGAATATTGTTGTCCCCTTCTCGGTCAAATCCACTTCCCATTCCCATCCTTTCCTTATCAGAAAAGGGTGGGGAAAGATAACTAAAAATAGGCTAATATTAGGTACATTTATCCTATGTTGTTACGGTGAAGGAAAACATCATGATGCACATATCTGAGAAAGTCAAAGATATGTGTGAAGTCTTGCACTGGACCAGCATTCACTATCACATATTGTCACTTAGAATAGGTTAGGTTAGTGGAGACATAGTGAGCTGATGATAGCAAACTGATGAGAGGGAAAGAAGGACTGTGGACTATCATGTAAAAATAATCACCAACATACCCTGGTGTTTCATATTTGACCAGAGCAAACCGCTTATTCTGATCACGACTAAGAAATGTTTCTTTTAGTGTACCAAATGTAGAAAATACGGTACGCAGTCCATCTTCGTTTAAATTCTTCGGTATATTAGTTATGTATAAACGAGATTGATCAAGCCTTACAGCACCACTGAAAAAAAAAAACAATCTCACTATATTACTAATATTATAAATGCAAAATTTTTAGATGGATGTTTGTTTGAAGATATCTCCAGAACGACTGCATGGATCTTAATGAAATTTGACATACATATAAAACATAGTTTGGAAGAAAACATAGGCTACTAATAATGTTTTTTTTTAGTTCCACGCAGACAAAGTCGAGGGTGACAGCTACTATTAAGATATGTACACACACTGAGTAGAATAACCAATATGTTGTCCAAGTGTGTTGGTAATGGGAACAATTACTTCTGTAAAAACAAAACAACTGATACTTGAAACCCAGAGACCTCACAGACCTCACAAATAACCCTTGCAGGGAATATGGACTTCCATTTGTCCCTGTCTTAGCTTCTTTCATCCACATTCATACATCTACACATACATGCATTGTTTTTGGGTGATTTGCGTATTTCTACGATATACTCTGTTCATTAAATTACGGTAATACAGACGGACAACAAAGTTATTGTACAAAGGTTACATTTATTTCCTTCCGAGGTATGAAACCTTTAAAACATTAAATTTTTATCCTGTCATGATGAAAGTTGAGGTGTATAAAGGATTCCTGCAGAAACAAAATAACAAAACACCTGTAAAATAAAGAGGTAGAGACCATTTGGGGCTGACCACATATATGTTGCTTCATTCATACATCTACACACACATTTGTTGGTTACAGATGCTCTTAATACAGTCCTTCTTCAGTATTTTATCTGGACAGTATAAGTCTGAGACAGCCCTTACCAACACTGCTCACTGTCCCGCCGTAAATTTCCTCAGTTAATCTCCAAATAAAAGAACTTAGGACAGAAACCAAAGGACTTAGTGTAGGAAGAAGACTTACCCAGCGTTATCATCAGCATATTGTGGGTCAAATGATGAGTTATTGTAATCATCTCTCATTGGGTCCCAATCTTGACTTTGATTGCTCCAACTTCTGTTTGCCATTTAACTGTAACATGAACTTATCTTACTAATATTATCAAAATGAAAATTTAGATGGATGTATGTTTGTTAGAAGATATCTCTGTATTGGTTAACCCTTAATTCGATGGTGTCCAGTGTGAAAAACAACTAATTTAAAAAAAATCTACTGTACTGGTTTAGAGAAAATTACGTAAGTATGACTTTACTAAAAAAAACAGTTTTTTTGCTACAAAAAATTTCATCGAATTAAGAGTTTAATGGATCTTGATGAAATTAGGAACAGATATAAAACATAGTCTGTAAAAACAAATTTTACCGAAAAAAAAATTATTTCTATATTTATTTAAAATGTTTAATCTAATAATAGAAATTAAAGGAAATTTAACTTTTAATAAAGTAAATATGGTATTTTACATTTAATTCAGAGATATAAACGAAATAGGATTATTAATTTTTAAATTAATTTGGACAAAAGCTTTCGTTAATACCAAGGTCTCAAGGACATTAAGTTAACTAAAGAACCAGTATTTCAAAATGGGGTATGCACGTGTGAAGAAGTAGAATGAAATTATTTTTGGAAATAATAATAACACGTTTTCGTGATAAAATCGCATTTTACATCATAATTGTTATAATTTTTATACTTACTTAATAATTATGTAAATCTGCGAAAACAATAAAACACCGGCAAAAACAAAGAAACGAATCGCGATTTATGTCACTTTGTATCTTTATGTCTGCCACAGCACAGATAAAATATTGGAGTAGCAACAGATAATCAATTAAGAAAATAAATAATAAATTGTAAAACGTTATAAGCTATTGCTTTGTTTGCCAAAATTATATATAAATTTGGTTTTTTTAAATAAAATTTTATCAATACTAATGCTAGAATTGTCTTTAGTCCTAATAATGTATAAGTTTTAAAGTTTAAAGCATAAAACATGTTTAAGCACAATATTTTTCGCAATTTAAAGCAACTCCTTTACTAAATTTAGGATTTCAAACAAACAATACTGAACATTTTTCAAATGAAATCATTTTTATGTTGATGCAACTGGTGTATTTTCCGAATGTTTGCGTGAACATGACAATTGTAACTGACATTGACAGATCTTGCATTCCTGTCCTGTCTAACCTATGCCATTTGATAAGAAATTTATTGGAATAACAAGAAGTTAATTTGGGTAAAAAATAATAAACAGTTTGCACCGTTTACAAATATGAAGAATGGATGAGTTCGGAAAGCACTCGGCCTCGTATCAGCTCGATCAAGAAATATTAGACGGTAAGTATTTAGCTTTACTTAGAATTTGAAACTGGAGCTCGATTCTTGGAAGTAAAGCAACAGGTATGAGAAATATGACGCAAATTTGTTTCCTGTTTTGTTTTTTTTAATTGTTACAGATGAATTAACGTTTTAAGATAAGTATTATGTTTAATTCCACCGAATATAGTCTTAACATAAGTGATGTAACGAAATTTATGGAAAGATTTGATAAAAAAAACTTGCGAACAATCTAAACTTTTTTTTGCTCTTATCTTTGAATATTTAATTTAATAGTGATGCTGTATCGATCTTTTCATTAGAAAAAAGACTAACAATTGGATATACATCTTTTTTATAGGTTCTTACTAAAGATAATACAAGATTGTATTTCTCGACAATTCTAAGAATTCTTTGGTTTAATTCTATTTTTAGATGAAGTAATTGATTCTTGATGGATGGATGTTACTAGGTATCACTAGAATGGCTGCATAGATCTTAATGAAATTTATCATAGATGTAGAACATAGTCTGGAAGAACACATAGACTACTAATTTAGTTTTTTTTAAATTCTGTGTGGCCTGAATCATGGGTCAACATAGTTTATAATATTAGTATGATGAAGGTACATTAAAATCCATTTAAACTTTCTAAATATTAAGATAAACAGTTGTTATATGCAGATATAAATATTCTGCAAGACATGTGGCATACTGGCCAAGAACCTTTGCCTTTTAGATTAAAAAGATATTTGAAAAAGAGAGAGGACCATCGAAATGTAGCGGTAAATAGAGTTGTAAGTTTTTAATTAAAGTTCATATCTATATGCAGCACGTGGTATCAACATGAAGGTGGAAGAAGTTGCAGGGCTCTCGACATGCAAGTATTCAGCAAGAGTTCAAGCTTTACATCTCAGCGATGATGACCTCGCCTTCCTCAAGGGTTTACGGAGACGGATCAAGAATAGAGTATGTATTATTCATAAGTTATTTTTTTACAGTAAAAAGTGGGCAAAGGTTGATTGATTTACTTACAATATGCCAGTGACTGAGTTAAAGTGTTGACTATGCATTGTCTACTTAAAAGATAAAGGAGGAGACATACAGAAAGAGGATATGTCCCTTACCCTGTCTAGTTGATTTATGTTCGATTGATATTTCACATTAGAAAATTGTATAAAAGTTAATTTTTTATTCTTTCGAATAGAAGAATAGTTGATTTAAAGGGAGAAATTTTAATTTCACTCTAAAGGTACGTGACTATTGGCTCGCGTCGGACGCACCGCACGCATTGCCTGCAACGGATTTTCCGATGATCCGAATGATCCGCGCAGTATCAAGACAAAGTAAATCCGTTTAATCCGTGCATGCGGTGCGTCCGGGACAATGGACACGTACCTTAATACGAAAATATTACTGCAACTAAAGATATTTCGTTTCATTTTGGTCGCTTGGTTTAATTCTTGTGCTTTTCAAATTAATATTCAACTCACAATGTTTAATTTATAAATTTATGATTTATTAATTCTGTATAATTCTATTCAAACTTTATGGTTGCTCGATCTTCGCACTAAAAATCTTATAAAATTATTCAAACTTTCGTGAGACATTATATTAAACTGATATAAAAACGGCTAAACACTCACGTATAGACTAGTTTCGAGCCCATCGGGGGCCCTTCATCAGGATGAGTGGTACTGGTATTATACGTTTTTTTATCAGTTTAAAAATATTATTTCGCGAATTTGCTGTATTTGCGTTGTTTATAACGAAAATTCATTTAATTATGTCTGTCTCACTGCAAATGTTTGTTCCGGACCGGGATCCGTTGTTCTACGAAACGGTAGGACCGATTTTGACGGGGCTTTTATTGGAAGGTAGCTGTTGTGTGCGCGAGTAACATTGAGTTTGTGCCTTGTGTTTTAAGTGTGGTAATAAATATTGTTCCTTTTTTAACATAGGATAATTTTTATTGAATTCTAATTAACAGTAGCTAACGTTAAATAAATATGTGTGAAATAGTTGGACTAGGATGTAGGATATATCTCGCAGCAAACCTCGAGCCGTTATTAAGTTTGAATCTTATTATACAGACAAACAGGCGAGTTGAACTATGTATACTCAAGTATCGTGGGAGTCATGTCGCGGTGTCGCGTTGCTTTCGGTTAACCGCACCGCCCAGACATACGATATTGGAGAGAGTAGGGACATAGGGTAAGAGGGGGGAATGAAACTATCTGGAAATGTAAACTATCGCCCAGATTCACTGAATTATGTCAAACTAGCTGTCGCCCGCGACTCCGTCCGCGTGGATATATAAAAAACTTAATTAGTGTTGCTTATGTGTTCTTTCAGACTATGTTCTATACGTATGACAAATTTAATCGAGATCCGTTCAGCCGTTCTATAGATATCTTCAAAAACCCATCCATCCATCATCACATCCATCTAAACATTCGCATTTATAATATTAGTAAGTTAAATAAAAAGCAGCTCTTCAAGGCATAAATTCGAAAAAAAAATGAATAAGTAGTAGTCCGTCTCCTGGCTCTAAGCTACCTCCTCTACAATTTTCAGGCATATAGGTAAAGCCGTTCTTAAGTTATAAATAGTGTAACTAACACCACTTTCTTTTATATCTTTATATATAATTCTTCTGTGCGTGTGTATGTTCTGCACTGAACTTCTCTCAAACGACTGGACCGATTTTGATGAAATTTTTTGTGTGTGTTCAAGGGGATCTGGGAATGGTTTAGATTCACAATTTTCATCAAATATTAACTTCATATTAATTTATTCAAATTAAAGACGTGTAGACAGGACAACGTCTGTCGGGTCCGCTAGTATATATGTATATTATTGAGCTGGTTTATGCACAATATTATTTACAACATTCATTCGATGTAAACACTAACAGTTTCCTGCGTCTTTCGTGGACGGACCTCTACAGTCGCTCTGATTTGGTCGGTCCACATCATAAGCGATCTTCCCCGGTCTGTTGCCCTCAACTTTCCCCTGCACCAAGCGCTCGATGAACTCGTCATTACGTCTACAGACGTCAATTCAATACAAAACAAATCTTTCCTCTTTATAATCTTAGTGCTTACTATATTACCTAATTTAGTCCTCTTTCCCTACCCACATTTTTTCTTATAAGGAAAGGATGGGAAGTCGAAGTGAACTTGCCGAATGAGATGGATGGCATGGAAAGGGAATATATTTTCGTTCTGTGCATCCTCTCATCCGTCGATTAAAGGTAGGCAACGCATATGCAATTGCATATGTCTATGGGCAACGGTCACTTCGCTATTCAGCGATTTCAGGTGACAGCTCGCTCGTTTGCCACCTTATGATATAAAAAAAAAGAATGTCTGCATGGATCTCGCTGAAATTTGTCATAGACGTAGAACATAATCTGGAAGAACACAGCCTACTTATTAAGGATTAATCTAATATTAACAAAATCTCTTTCAGTTAGCATCACAAAACAGTCGTAGACGCAGTATAGAACATCTGCGTAGATTGGCCAGAGAATTAAGAGCGGTCCGAGCTTGTAGAGAGGACGTATTATCAGAACGAAGGAGTTTACTTGCTCAGAGAGATGAGATACGAACACATTGTTTGAGATTAAGAAGACATCTAGTTCAGGTAAATGGGGATTTTATATAACCTTAAGGTAGGCAACGTATCTGCAATTGCGTATGTCGATTTCAGGTGACCGCTCGCTCGTTTGCCACCTTTTGATATAAAGAACCTTGACTTAGATGAGGGCGCTTCAATCGACTATCACTTACGTACTCAAATTAGTTTCTTTTTTTTCCTTTTATTATCTGAACTCGGCATGCATTGAAATGCCTAAAATAAACGTAAAGAAACACAGAAATGACTATTGTACAGTACATGAACTATTTTCCATTCGTTGTGCCGATGACCTAGAGCCACCGAGATAATTGAAAAGAACTATACAAAGGCTTCAAAACTCGCTAAATTTATAATCATTTGCAGACCATATATTGCCTATTGAGATCAGACAATTAGCCGTAGAGATATTTGAAAAGAACTATACCATTGACTTAAACCTCGCTTAATTTATAATCATTCGCAGATTATATTTTGTCTATTAAATTATTCAAACTTTCGTGAGACATTATACTAAACTGATATATAAACACGGCTAAATACTCACGAGTGAGCTGAGGACCTTGTCCGCGAAATAATACCAGTACCACTCATCCTGATGAAGGGCCCCCGATGGGCTCGAAACTAGTCGGTGCCGTCACCGAACGAATATACGTGAGTGTTTAGCCGTGTTTATATATCAGTTTTTTATATTTTTTTGTAGACCTGACATTGAGCCGTAGAGATATTTGAAAAGAACTATAGCAAAATCTTAATACTTGTTAATTTTGTCTTCTAAAGAAGGTTAAGAAATAAAAGCCATACATGTATTTATGTCACCTCATAATGTTAATTTCTTTCCAGGTATTAAGAGATAGATCTGACACAACATTAGTGCCTCAAGAAGATTTAGAAATAGATGAATTAACAGAAGAATCTCAAACTGTAAAACCGTCCAATAGAATGAATGAGACCAAATGTAACTTTAAAAATAGAATAGAAAATTACCAAGATGATATAAAGAAGAATATATTTAATGATGAAAAGATATATACAAAAAGTAATATGCTAGAAGAAGATTTAAATGATATGAAGATATTCGAGTGTCGTATAGATAAATTGGTTCAGCAAAGCGTGAATCATATATTTAAAGAGGATAAAAAGAAGATATGTGCAAAGACTATATTTATAACGGAGAATATTCTAGAAGAGAGGAATGATGGTGTTTTGAATTTGTCAGTAAAAGAAGGTAGGAGAAAGAGTCATGGAAGGAAACAGTCTGCTCCGAGAAGGATTCCTTATGTTTACGGAAATGGTAAGTAATATATTTAGCAGTCAGCCAGCTTTGTCTGACCCGGTGCAATACCATGACCACACAGACATGCCTCAAGTGCGAAGTTATTCCAACTACAGTCTGATAAGTGTTCCAGAGGATTCATTTTGGTTTTCTTTCCCTTCCTTTTGTTCTTATAATTAAAGGATGGGAAGTGGATTTATAACTGTTAAAATAATATTCCATACAAATTTTCAACCCCTTTTTCAACCCCTTACAATACTTTTTTCGGGTTAAAAAGTAGCCTATGTTCTTCCTCAGGTTCTGGACTATCTTTGTACCAAATTTCATTTAAATCTGTTCAGTAGTTTTTGTGTGAAAGCGGCACATACAAACAGACAGATAGAGTTACTTTTACATTTATAATATTAGTTAAAAAATCGACTGGGGATATTGTAGCTTTCCCACAGTGAAAGAATATCAAATTGGTTCAGTATTTTTTGAGCATATTCAATATAATAAAATATTTCCTCTTTATAATATAAGTAAAGATAATAATCTATTCGAAGAAATGTAGGAATCATCAGCTCACTATATGTCCCCACTTAGGGGCTCGGAGCCTTCCCTAAGTTATGTGACTAGGTCATAGTCAACCACGCTGGCCAAGTGCGGGTTGACTTCACACATATGTTTGATTTTATCAGATATGTGCAGGTTGCATCACGATGTTTTTAAATGTACATATGTAAATCAGAAATCGAAAACATATTGGTACATGGCGGGATTCGAACCCATGACCCCTGAGCCGATGACACTCAATGTAGTAATAACGCCATCTATTAGAATATTAATTAAACTTAATTCTTAAATGTTGCCATTTTCAAATTAATTTTTTTTTTAATTTTTTTTTTAATTTCAGACGGAGTACTCGATTTAAAAATAAAGAAAGAGCCACAGTGATAGAAAAGACAATATAGTATATAAGATGTTATTTACACACGTATGTACAGACCAAAAAATATTATTATATATTTGTAAAGTATGATAATTGTTGATACTGTTTTACCTACAGAGCTCACGTTTAGTAGGTTTCTGAGACTAAAATCTGTATAATACATAGTTAGGGAACATACCCATACTACGTGACATATTTTATTTAGTTTTTTCGACCCCTCCCACCCCTCTTTGACCACTCGTAGTACATGCCAATACACTTCCCTCCCTTTAGTTTTTACGTAGTAATTCATAATTATGATTTTAAATCATTTCACAGGCAAAAATTGACAAAGAAATAATTTGGCTCATACTCTTCTTTATAGCATAAGACTGCATGCATTCTTAAATTACTAGTTAATTATGTATTATGAAAAAAAAACAACTAACGACTACGTGACTAAAATCTGATCCCCCCCACCGCTCCTGTGACTGACCGTAGTATTTTAAAGACTCTACCCCCCCCCCCCCTAAACGGATCGCGTAATATGTGTACGTTCCCTTATCTCTGTTTTTGTCAAAGATAATGACAGGGATATGTTTTATTCAGACATTTTGGTCTTAGAAATCAATGTTAAGAGAAACTTTATCGTTTAAATTCTCGTAATTTTCTTTTAAATTACTTTTTCTTACATAAATTTTCATATAATTATCACAATTAATGTAGGAGTGCCATACCGGCCATTTATATTAAATATTTTATTAATATTATTTCTTTGTATTTAAAGAAAATGTTAAATTATAGATTTACAAGGATATCTGACTCTGTGGGCATAAGTATAACAAAATTATGATAACTCACTAACGCCCCCCAGTTAAAGTTACTAGCTGTCGCCTGCGACTCCGTCCGTACGGTATAAAATAAACTTAATTAGTACCCTATATGTTTTTCTAGGCTGTGTTCTATATGTTAACTAAATTTCATCGAGTTTCGGTGAGCCGTTCTGGAACATCCATCCATACATCCATCTCACCGGCTCAGATATCCTTGTTTGACTATTATGGCATATGCTCTGTGATCTGTGACAAAAACAAATTTTAGTCTATGGTAACTGTCAAGTTGACATTTGGCTGCAGTTTTTTTTTGTAGATTTTATGGCTGGTACGAGACCGTAAAGGTAAAACGTTTGGCGGGAATTTTTATTTCATTATTTTTAGCTGGTTAAAAAAAGTATGATTTTATTTAGTGATATATCGTTATAAAGGCCAAAGATTTAATTTCTTTGCGAATATCTTTGCATACTTTATAAGTGGAAAGCGCGAAATATATACTTATCCTTTTCATTCAAACAGTATTTTGTCTCATTCTATTTATATTATTATGGTTTCTGTTTTTATGAATGAAGGAATTTCTTGAGTATTTTGAATTTAAATCAAAAGCAAAAAAAAATATTTTTACCGTACGATTACATTGAAAAATAATACTCAAAGGCCGGCAACGCATCTGCGGTTCCTCTGGTATTGCTGATGTCCACGGTCGTTAAACACCTCGGTGTTCCCGCTGCTCGTTTGCTCCCTTCTGTTATAAAAAAAGCAAATTTTATCGGAGTTTTACGAAGGGATAAGTTGCTGCGTGGCGCGTAATATAAACAATATGATATTACGTTATCGAGTGTCTTATATTAACTATTAACGGACTAATGAGTTAATACCTTTGAAGATATAATTGAGAGGGATAAACGTTTTTGTACAGATTTTAAGCAAATGAAATTCACAATTACTTGACGTCAATACTCTGTCTTGTATTTAATCTTTGTTGATTAGGTATAAAGATTCGGTATTTACTCTATGATGAAATAGCATGTTTTTTATTTAATCTGTATGTGTTTTTAAATCTTTGGTCCAAAGCGAATTTTACAAAAATTGTTATGTAAAATGTTTATATACAAGTATTTAGTTATAAGTAAAAAATCTCCAAGAAAGATATGACCATATTATATGTGATGTTGAATTTAAATAAATAATATTAGTTATTCGATATGAGTTTTATTTTATTTTTTCGTCACTAAAAAGTACCCCATGTGTTCTTCCAGACAATGTTCTACATCTATACCAAATTTCAACGAGACCCATCTAGCCGTTCTGGAGATATCTTGTAACAAACATACATGTTAACTTTCGCATTTATGATATTAGTAAGATTTCGTATAGTGCCATCTTTTATTATTTTTCTAATTTTTATAAGTAGAATTTAGGTTACATTCAAATTTTTGGTAAGTGCCATCTAGCGCAGATACGAAAACTTTTTAAAGAAAATTTTTTTGTTGTGAAATAATTGGAATAGCCAAAGTTTCGAATGTTTTGTTTGGAAATGATGAAAATGTTCTAATTTTACAAGCAAAGTGAGTCTAAAAATGTGCTTAAATTTTTTTTTAAATCAATAACAACAATGTTTTAAATTTTTAAACTGACAACATTAATCAGAAAAAAACGACCCCTAGCGGTACTTGTCGAAATCTTTCCTTTTGTCTTCTTCAATCCAATATGGCGGCAAACGGCGTATGAACGGTGCAGAATGTTTTGATTTGAATAGTTCCATAAAAAACTCAAAAAAGCAACGAAACCCTTAAAAAAATACGCAATGGCCGGCGCAATTTATGTGGTGCTGTGCTGAGTCCGCGACATGTGTGATTACGCGCTAGTTTTGTGTCAATAACAGTATTAATTTGTGAATTCGTGTGTTAAAATATGGGATAATATTTACTAGATGTTGTTATTAGTGGTTTATGATAGTAGGTTACTCGATAGATATGTCTGCCGATGATAAAGACACGACATGCCCTACCACGAGTGAAGAAACATCTGATATTGTGAAAAATATAAACAATAAAAATTCCGAAGAAAAATGTGAGAAGACGACTAAACCGCCACGAAAGGTCTCATTTCCAAAGGAAGAACAATTAGTGACTAAATATTTCGAACCTTTCAACCCTTGGGAAGATGGTAAGTCATATTTTCCAGTTTTAATCTTATTGGAAAACTATACTGACAATGAAAATATTTCCTTCTTTGTCTTCTTTAATTACTTTGTACTAAAATTTAACGTAAATTAAACTTTATGTTATCAAAATAGTCATACAATTCTGAGGGTACTGTAGTAATTTACTAAAATTATGGATTTAATTTTAGTCTATTCTTCATTTAAAATATCTAAAATTATTTACGAATTAAAATTAAAGAAAAAAAATGTAAAAAATGCTTGATTGTATTTAACCAATATTACATGTCTCAGTAGAAAAAACGTTTTTCTTAACCAACATATTGACTATAAAATTAACCAAAGAGTTAATATATTTCAAAAGAAGTGTTACTCATAGAAATTCATTTAAGATTATTTTATCTATCCCCTTCTTTATAAATTAGGGATGACTTGCTAAACAATATGTAGAACATTTTGCTGATCTTATAATTGGTTGTGTTAGGAAAAAAAAGTTTGAAATAGGATTTACAGGAACATTAGCAATTTCTACTAAACAGTATTTCCAATAATAGCAAGGTCACATATGAAGGCTTGTCTACAACCTCATAATTTTTTTGATAGATGGCATTCTGACACCATGTCCCTTATGTACTTAATTGTGTTGATAGCTCAGAGGTTAAGCACTTGACTTGTAATCAACATGTCTTGGGTTTGAATCCGGCCATGCACCAATCATACATTTATCCGATGTTATGGTGAAGGAAAACATTGTGATGCTGTACATATCTGAGAAAGTCAAAGATATGTGTGTAGGTTTACTGGTATAGTATGGTTAGGCATAGTTGTACCAACCATAGAGTAGGCTCCAAGCCTCTCAGTGGGGATGTTTAATGAACTGATGATTAAATGATGTTAAACTGAAGGATGAAAATTTGATAGGATTTTCTAAGGATTATGACTATAAAGAAGGTTTGTGCCTACTCTAATAATGGCACTAATTAAAATTGAGGTTCATATTTTAAATGCAATTAAAATCTAAATAGAGTGTCTGTGGCTCAGGGGTTTGAGCACTTGACTTGTAATCTGCAGGTCTTGGGTTCGAATCCGAAGGAAAATATTGTGATGCAACCTGCACATATCTGAGATGAAATTCAAAGATATATGTGAAGTCAAGCCACACTTGGCCAGTGTGGTTGACTATGGCCTAATCACCCCTAACTTAGGGTCGGCTCTGAGCCCTTTAGTGGGTACATACAGTTGCCCATAGACATACGCAATTGCATATACCTTTAATCAACAGAGGAGAGAATGCACAGAAAGAAAAAAATTCACTTTCCATGCTCCTCTCATCCGGAAAGTCCACTTCCACTTCCCATCCTTTCTATATAAGACAAAAGGTGGGAAGGGAAAGAGGACTAAATGTAATTTTATTGCTTATCCTGTAAAATAATGAAATTGCATTTATTCTGATCTCTGGCCACTGATATTAATTAGCAAGTTGTGAATAATTTCTAATTTTCATTTTGTCCAATGGTCATAAGGTCGAGCAGAATGAATTCCGGTGACTAGCATATGTCCTCATCTTCATGGAATTAAAAATAATCCATTAATAAAGATAGAGATAGTTTAGCTTGCCAACAGTGAAAGAATTTTCCAAATCTGCAGGGCTAGACAAAGTGCATTCTCTCAAAAGCAATTCCAAAATGAATTTCTACAATGTATAGAACTGACAATAACTTTGGATAAGTGATGTGATTGTTGCGCATCTCTTCCATACATTTTTGAAGTTCAGTTCAGTATTAGAACCTGCATCAGCATCATCAGCTCACTATATGTCGCCACCAAGGGGCTCGGAGACTACCCTAAGTTAAGGGTGATTACGCCATAGTCAACCACGCTGGCCAAGTGCGGGTTGGTTGACTTCACACATATCTTTGAATTACTTCTCAGATATGTGCAGGTTTCATCACGATGTTTTCCTTCATCGTAAGAACGTCGGATAAATGTACATATGTAAATCGGAAATGGAAAAACACATTGGTACATGGCGGGATTCGAACCCAGGACCTGCAGATTGCTAGTCAAGTGCTTAACCCCTGAGCCACCGACACTCTATTAGAACCTATTCAATACCAAATAAATCTTTCCTTTATATAATATTAGTATAGAAAAAACGAGCATATCCTGATGATATAAGTGTCATAAATACAGATGTACTGACCACAAACAATCTGTGGTTAAAAGCTATGCAGAATTATCTATTTATCTATAATTTATAAATATTATAGTTGCTATAGAACAAGGCATATGACTGATTCATTATCAAGAGCATTGCAAGCTGATGATCTAGGCATCATCATCAACCTGCCCTTATCCTTATCAAGGGTCGGCACAGTATGTACCACTCCATACATCTCTATTAGCCGTCATATCCGAGTCTACCCCCTTCCTATGCATATCCTCTTACACACACTCATTCCATACTTTTTTTGTCTTCCAATACCTTTGTAGCCATTCACATTCAATCTTATTTAACTGATGATCTAGGCAAGATCTTTAAAAAGTCTTAGTATCTAGTAACTGACATGTAGTTTTTGAGTTATATATGCAGATCTATAGGGATTGTAATAATACTTCAAAGTAGTTTATAATATCTATTTTATAATTTTTTGGGATCTCTATTGGGGTTGCTACCCCCCCATTCTTCCCTTCGCGGTATGATAAGGTCATTCAGTGGTACACATCTAATTGCTTTTACTAACCTACTAGTCCTGGGCGAGATTTTTGCATCGCTCCTCCTATTTTGTTTCAGGGGAAATCTTCCAAAGATAGAGTATTTGAGTCGACACTGTAGGCGCCCGTTTATATCCGACTTTGGCGCCAGCGGAGACCCTTTACACCCAGCGCCCTAGGTGGCCGCCCCAACTGGCCCTACCCTAACACCGCTACTGACCGCGTCTCAATGCTATCTAAATGTTTTTTTAAGAAGGATCGTGTCATCTCATTGTAAAGAACAAGGCAAATTTTGTAAATGGAACACCGCGAATGGCCCTGACTGTACATCAATTGCTTGTAGAAGCCGTGTTGCATAGTTGCTTAGTGGAATTTGAGCTTAATCTTATATTACTTATATCCGGGTCCAAAATATAAACATTAAACACCATGTTATTAACAATCATTAGAAATGATTAATGGTGATATATCCAATCCACCTGTGGCTACCCATCATGGGTACTTATCCATAACGATTATAACGTAGGTTTTCACTGACCTGTGTGTGACCTCTTGTTATCTATACAATTAATATAATTGAAGTGTCTGTACGAAGCGGTGTCTGAAGCGGTATTTCCAAACCGCTACGACTTAGGCTCCTTCAAGAAGCGAGCCTATCACCACATCAATGGCCGGCAACGCATCTGTGGTTCCTCTGGTATTGCATCCATGGGCGTCGTTGAACACTTCGGTGTTCCCGCTGCTCGTTTGCCCCCTTCTGTTATAAAAAAAAACGTAACATCGAAAGAAATACACGTTCGTTACATATAAAGATGTCTGTCCGCAAAGCTGCGTGCCATTGAGTAATATTTTCGATTTTTATAGACATTTTCGTTTGATATCTTACTAATATTATAAATGCGAATGTTTAGATGTATGTTTGCTGCTATCTACAGAACGGCTGCATGGATCTCGCTAATGGCATAGATGTAGAACATAGTCTGGAATACATACTAGTTAAGTTTTTTATGTATACGCTTACACTATGCGTAAATAGGAACGGTCGGCTGCGACCTACGAAAGGTGAAGTCATAAAAGACTGCACTGAGCAACCGTTGTTTTGATTACTCCCCGTACTTATCAGTTTTTAATTCTGTAAATCTGAATATTATTACCGTGAATTAAAATCACACTCATTTTGTGAAAAATTTATTTTTATATCTTTATATTTTTTTATAATTGCGCGCGGACGCAGTCGCAGTCGACAGCTAGTGTCTTGTTTTTATAGATGTGTTATCGTAGTGAACACCCACGGTTAACACCGCTCGTATCCAATTAACGAGATCTTGGCACTGAGTTGAATTAGTCATACGTTATTGTTTGGGCTCGCGTTTGCACTGCTTAGACGTAGACTAAAACTACAGATGAAATAAAGGGTAAACAAAGAAAATAATAAAAAAAACTTTACGTTTTTTTATTATTCTTAAGAAAAACATAATTAGTAGTCTATGTGTTCTTCCAGGATATGTTCTATATGTATGATAAATTTCATCGAGATCCATTCGGCCGTTCTGGAAATACCTTCGGAATATCCATCTATCCATCTAAACATTCACATCTAAATATATAAAAGAAAGTCGTGTTAGTTACACTATTTATAACTCAAGAACGGCTTTACCGATATACCTGAATATTGGTGAGGAGGTAGCTTAGAGCCAGGAGACGGACATAGGGATACTATTTATTCATTTTTTCGAATTTATGAAGAGCTGCTTTTTATTTAACTTACTAATATTATAAATGCGAATGTTTAGATGGATGTGAATTGGATGGATAGATGTATGTTTGAAGATATCTCTAGAACGGCTGAACGGATCTCGATTAAATTTGTCATATGTATAGAACATAGTCTGAAAGAACACATAGGCTACACTAATTGAGTTTTTTCTACATATCCAAGCGGACAGAGTCGCGGGCGATAGCTAATTTATAATATAAGTATGATGATGATAGCCGTATACATAACTCTAGATAATTTTTCATAGAAAAATTACTTATATTTAGTTGCTAAAGACATTGTTACATCATCTCAGATGTGATGATTCATACGTTGTGATGAAGATCAACAAGAAATGTTATATTTAACAAAAAGATACAGAATTTAATTAATTAATTTTTGTTTTACGCGAATAAAGTCGCGGGGAACTGCTTGTTTTAATCATCCTGTAGTTTCCCCTGAATAGTGATACAGTATGTACTTTTAATTCACGTTTCAGACCGGCTGTATGAAAAGTGCACGTAGAACATAGTC